TTTTTTTTTTTTTTTTTTTGTTAGCGGGCGGAAGGTTTTTGGCAGCGATCTCTCTCGGCGCTTCCTCTGTTCACGCTAAATAGTGTTTTGGTGGAGGCGGAGGCGCGAGCTTCGGCGTCGTCTTAATTGCGACCTTTAATTGGGTGCGGTGTACGGCGCCGATTAGACGATCCGTACCGCTTGCGTAGTAGCCGACGCTTTTTGCGTCGCGTCGTAATTACGTAGGCGTTTTCGGTTGGCCGGGTTCAGCGACTCGTTTCGATGACGTCACCCCTTTTTTTGACATTTTGTAAAGTGGTTAAGCTTGTTGTTTCAAACATGTAAACAAATAAACATGATTTTTTTTAGTGCTTTGGGGGGGGGGGGGGGGGGGGGTTCTAACTTTCAAGCTGACTTGAAGCTCCAGTAGTGAGATAAGGACAAAAGGACAATGTTTATTACTTTAATTTTTGGTGCCTGGGCATTGGAGCTTTTTTTTTTATGCCATTTGTCACGGATGAGTTCCGATAAACCCAGCTTAAAATGTTACCTTGAGTCGGCGCATGTTTGATCTTGTCGAACTTGTTGATTGAATCTAGGTCTTCGTTTGCATTGCTAATTTTCGAGTGGGCCTCTTTTAGTTACTGTTTTACAAGTAAGGATGACACGGCAGTTGCTGTTGTTGAAAGTAATTTGTTTCCTTAGAAGGGTATTTTCATCAGCGACGAAAATCAATGCAAGTTCGTTTTCTCGAAGTCATCCACTCGTTCCATAAAACATTTAGTATCGTGGCTTCTTTCTTTTTTATATAATTTTTCTGCTACATTGCGTTTTTATTTTTGCGAGAAAAGAAAAAAGAACGACTCCAAATCATTTTTTTTTTTTTTTTATCCCGTTCGTTATTCTCGCCAGATACAACACTTGGCACGCGCCGATTCGTCGAAACTCGTATATTTTTTTTTCTTACCTCTCCAAAAGCGACGTTGATTTCCAAAACGAGGCCGCGTCTGTCCAGCTGTTGCGAGTTCCCCCTCGTTTTTACGGCTTCGAGGTGTCAATACTCAATACCTCCTTTTTGCTTCTCTTTTTTTTTTTTCTTTGATCTCCAATTTATTGGAAGTCTTTTGAAGCGACTGCAGTTCTCTTAGCCGAATCTTGCTTTCTTTTGAGGGGGTACGCTTCCAGCGACGCCATTCGGCCTTCGCCTCCAATTCGGTGTCGTGTTCTCGCTCTCTCTCCTTGACCTTCCGTCTTCGTGACCTTTTTTTGTCTATCTCTTTCTTTTATCCTTCCCTCCCGCTTTGTTTTTGTCCCTCCGTCTTCATTACGGCCGCTCGGTGATTGCGTAGCGAGCCGTTTTGACGGCTCTGTCGTGCTTCGTGGGGGCTCGCCGGCATGGCCCGAAAGACGCATACGACGCGAGTAGCGTGCTGACTGGAACGAGCTCGTTTTTCTTTTTTCTAATTATGTTTTTTTTTTTTTTTTTTTACATTTGTTATTTTCTTTTCGGGAGGTTATACTTCCACTCATTTGAACCCCTTTTCTTTTTTTTCTTTTTTTTGTCAGTTTCGTTTTTGTGTGTGTGTGGGGTTGGGAGTCTTTTATCGGTTGCTGCTCTCCGTGCCTTTGTGTGTGACGCGGTGATATTACGTGCGTACGTTGCGTCAGAGTTTTAACGTGGCAAAAGAGATCATTGTAGTCCGGGTTTTTTTTTTTTTTAATCGCGATGTGTTTTACGGCTCGCTTGCGCGAGAGAGCGCCACGAAACAATTGTCGCACGTCGGGCTGAAGTTCCGGTAATTAATGATCAATAATTAATCGCGATAACTAATTATGAGGAATGGGATATACTCGTCATTCGGCCGCTCGCTCTCTCCCGTGCCTTTATCTGTAAAATTAAAACACAATCTTCTCTTTTCGACGTTTTTTTTTTTTTTTTTTTTTTTTTTAAACGCGATTTTTGAGAAATTAGAAGCACGGGTTAGTGACGACGTGGAGGATGAAGATACATTTCTTGCTTTTCGCAGTCTTTTTATGAAACCAAAAAAAGGAAAAAAATATTTGCAATCTCAAATCTCGGCCGAATATGCGTGCATGCCATACTTTGTTGCGAACACTCTGAGGATCCTTGACCGCCTGCTCTCCCGCAAAGCACATGAGGAGAGCCAATCGCCGCAATCTATGTGGTATGGAGACTTGAACGTACCGATAAGAAGCAAAGTTCCTAAAGCGTGGCGTCACAAACAAGAACGCAGGAGAAGGAATCACACGCGGGGGCGTGGCTCGTGACACGTCAGCGCCTATCGATTCGTGATTGGCCCTCCGTCGGTAACGAGATGCGCACAACTCGACGCAACGTCCGCCGCGTGTTTTTTTTTAATTTTTTTAAATTAATTGCTGGGGGGTGTGAAGCGAAGTTCCGGCGATCACGGCGTGCAGCGTTTTGTGTAAAGTCGCCCCCACGTATCGGAACGCCGTATAAATCATCGTCCGAATCAGGGACATGAAGTCCATACCGCAGCCAGCTGGCAGTAAGATAGAACGGTTACCGGACCGAAAACCACAAACCAATGCACCGACGGTGTGTTTTTAATGGCGTTTAGCACGAATCAATTTGTACATACACAACGCGTGTGAGGTCGACCGGTTGCGGTGCATTGGCCAGGCGCCATAGAGAGAGGGAGAGCTATATTTTGCGCACCGTCGACAAGGTTTCGGCGTTTCTCTTACGTCTGCTTCGCCCAAAAGTCCGACCGTAGGGTTATGTTGGCGAGGAAGTACGGGGAATGCTTTGTCGTCGCAGCCTGTTCCTCCTCCCCTCCCCCCCACGGGGCTAGCTGTTTAGCCGAAATGAGGCTCGTGGACTCGACGCGAGTTCGGTTACGCCAGCCGGCCGAGCGCCACGTCAGAAACACGAAACAAACAATTGACGTTGTTGACCCCTCGTGGGTCAACAACGTCATCTTCTCCCTAGAGAGCCTAAAATGTAAGAGAGATCTTGAAAACCTCGGGGGAGCGCTCGTCCATTGGTCGACCCTTCTGGGAGCTCGTGTTGCGAACGTCGCAGACCATAAACCACGTGACCCCGACCAGCAGTTGGAAACTCTCTGAAATGTAGGGTTTTTTTTGTTTTGCTCCTCCCCAGTAGTACTCCATCGCCTTCTCTTTTTTTGCTAAAACAAAAGAAGGAAAAAGAAAACACCTGCGCGTTCCGCGATGTCTGTTTCTGCGGGGAAGGGGAAATGAAACAAAGAAACGAAACCGGGGATCGGGTCGATGGATGGGGCGAGGGGGGGAAACGGAGAAGGTCGTCGACTGAATTCGAGAGTATATTCGAACTCCGGCTTCGTTACCGTGCTATTCTCCTCTTTGTTTTTACAAGGTGGTAACCGGCCGTATGTGTCGCTGAAAGATGTTTTGTTTTCTCCGCAATTGCCTCCACGAGTTCGCAAGGCGGCCGCGCTCAGAATGTGGTTTTTTTATACGTTTTATTTTGATGTGGAAATATAATGTAAACTGTTTTCTTCCCTCTCTTTTCGAGACAAAATGGCGCTAAAATAGGCGAAGGACACAAAACAGCACTGTACGTTACTATGGGCTGAAACAGTCCCTCATGGTTCTACTTCTTTCGTGGACTACTTGCCAGTTTTTGGAGAGCTGTTTCTTTCTGTCCGTCTAATTTACCACTGTTTTGCTTAAAAAAAAACAAAAAAAAACATTAAACAGAACGCATTATACATCAAGCCGAAATCATAAAAAAAAAAAACCTTCGTTTTAAAATAAAATTTAAAAAAATACTTGAGGTTTTTCTTTTTTTTTTTTTTCACCTAATTAATTACTGTTCTGGTCTCCGTCGTATTCATTCGTTGGGAGACCGTTTGCGGTGCTCAGCCCGCTTCGTCCGCTTTCAGTGAACCGATCTCGCGTTATCCGCGTACTGTCACTCCCTTTTTACAGTTACATCAAGTCCGCTAGGTTCGCAGAATATGCCGTTTTTTCTTCTCCGCCACCGCCGTCCGTTGCTTGTTTCGGTTGCGTGCTCAAGAAACGCTGTTGGCTGCTGATCAAATTCTCTCTGCCTCTCTCTCTCTCTCCTCCTCATCTTTCTCTCTCTCTCTCTATTCCTCGCTCGTTTTCTTACAGTTCGAGTTTTCCTTAATTTCCTGGTTCTTTTTTTTGTGTTGGTGTGTGTCAGTGATTGAACGAAAGCGACTGGCACAGACGACCATTAGCTGGAAACAATTAATGCTGTCTGTTTTTGGTATCCTTATTTGTTTTCTTGCAAATTATCGTGGCTTGAGTATCGAGAGCGGGTCGCTTCGACGGAAGCTTGTGACGAAACGTTTCGGTTCTTTCGATCGAGTTTAAATAATATTCCGACTCGTTAACCTTCTTAATTTACCTAGAAAATACTGCGGGCATGTGTATTAGGCCCGTCTGGGCACGGATCAGTAATTAGAATTAACGTGAAACTGACGCAACCAGCGCGTTTCAGCCATCGCTTTACATTCAACGAAATACAAAATGAGAAAATTTGCAAAACTCTACTCGAACTGTGTCAGTTACCGTGGTACTACCACTTGTAAAACGAAATTCTGTTATTTGAGTCGGCAGCACGGACCTCTGCGTTCGTCGCAAATCTTTTCCCCGTCATTTCCTAGGCTTGGGCGAAAGCCGTTTGATCTTTACGAGTAATATTTGTGTACAAAAAGCTCCTGCTTGTAATTTCTAGCTTTCCGCACATCTTCGAGCGCGATCGTAAGCGGTTATTGTTGACGCGTGTCGTGATCTCTACTTGAAAACAAAACCCTTCGTTGGTATTAAAAAAAAAAAAAAGAAAAAAATGTTTGTGCAGTTTTTGTTGGGGTTTCCTTGTCGTTTTATTCCCTTTTTCTGCTTCTTCCGAAGCGATACTCGGCTTTTTGTAAGCGGTACTCGCTTTTCTATAAGTGGTACTCAGCCTTTTCGTAAGCGGCACTGGATTTTACCTAAGCGCTCCTTGGTTTGTTTGTATCTTGCAGGGGCAGCAGTCTTCAGGATGACTTGGAGATGAGCGACAGCGATGATGAGCAGGTAAATATCTGTCACGTAATCGTTGAGGCTAAAGGTGTCTGGACCCAATTTGTTTATTGCGCAACGGGAAATTCGACCGTGCTGGTTTTGACTTTGAGTTCTGGGAAGCATAGGGTGTGTATGAAGGCACTCTAGGGATGGATGGATGGATGGATGAATACGGCTGAGCCCTTTGGATCGGGCGGTAGCTTACGCCACCTAGCCATTTTGTTTTACCATTTAAGCTTAGAATATTTAAATGTGAAATCTATATTCACTCCGCAGTGCAAAGAAAGTGAGGCTATGAAACCCCCTTGCCATCAGTGGATAAGAAAATACCTAGTTTTCTCTCGATTTCTGCCACCATTCACTTAATCTTTGCTTGGTAATCTCTACAGTCTTGAAATCCACTCTCCCTTCGCTGTCTCTAAAACCCAATGACTTTATTAAATCTATGTTGTCTTCGGTAGGCATAGGGTGAAGCCCTTTACAGTAGAGTATCAAGTGCTCAGCCGTCTCATGAAGCATGACTAGTAGTGCCACCTACCTGACTTATACGACTCTACTATTTCTTTTTTTTTTTCCCCCCGGTCATTTTAGGAGCCACCCTTGCGGAAATCATCGTCGTCACTTGGCTTTTCCAGTTCCAAAATCACGTAAGTTAATCCCTTGTTGCTCTTTTTTTTTTTAATGTCGATTCCGTAAACTTTTAGTAGATGTGTGCCTATTTGGTCAGTTACTGATGATAACTTAAGATTGTAATCCGCAACGCCGTGTTTGAGAGGTGGCGTCCCGAACCTCCGCGTCTTCTTCACCGCCTTAGTGTTACGGGACGAAGTTCGCCGTTGCGTTGTCTGGCGGCGGCTTACCGCTGAGATCGATCGCCTCGTTCGCTGATACGCTTATAAAATAGCCGGTTTATACGTCACGTAGTCGCGCTATGGATAAATCTCTTCGAGATAAAAATCGTTCTTTTTGTTTTTGTTTGGGGGGGGGGGGGGGGGGGGAAGAGAAGAGAAGAGAAGAGAAGGAAAGAGTCGGGGGAGACGTTGAAGTGGTGGAAGAGCTTTTACGTGAGCTGTGTGTAATATGTTTTTGACCATCTAGATATTCTATATATATATGTATATGAACTTACAGCTTATTGTATCAAAAAGAAAAAAGCAGATAAAAAGATTATATTCTTGCGATGCAGTCTTTCGGGTCAAAGTCGATAAATGGTGCTAGCTGCCTAAAAAAAAAAATAAAAAAAAAAAAAATGGCGGCGCGGACGTTTTTGTGTGCGCGTGTTTGGAGTCACGGAGTGAACGAATTGTTCGCGAGGAATGGTTTTTCTTTTTCTTTTATTATTATTTTTCTTTTTCCGCTTTCTCGCCCCTTTTTTTTTCTTTTATCTTTGACCGGAGGAGAAAAGATTTATGAAGCGGATTTCTCGGAGGAGTTGTGCGTGGCGTTGTGTTTGTCACTTAATCACTCTCCCGCGCCATCGTGGGGGAAAAAAAGAAGAAAAAAAGGAGCGAACTAAAAAGGCGCGGAGCTCGGCTGGTTTTCATTTCCGGTTTGGTGTTTGTGCCCGTAGCAGACGGACGTGTGTGCGTCTGTCTGGGTTTGTTGGTTTTTTTTCGGGGGGAGGGGGAGGGGAGAAAACGAGAGAATGGCTTCCGGTGATTGGTTCGCGGAAGCAACCAATCAGCGTTGGAGGAAGCAGGATGCGTCTGGCTAGCTGTTGGGTAGTGTTGAGTTTTTCGGTGGTCCTGTCGCGTCCGGACCCCCTCGGCAGCATTTTTTTCTTTAATTTCTTTTTTTGTGAACTTTATTGTCTGCATAGGCGAGCCCTGTTTGCCGGCAAAGGTGGTGGTTTGGTTCGGAAAGGTTATGACCTCATCCGGTCATGTAAGAGCTGTTCTTAAAAAACCTCAGTATTCGTTTTTCGGCAAAAGGAAATAAACGAAACAACTTGCGAATTGTTTGTGACACAAGAGCGTCTAAAATGCTCACATTGCATAAAAACAAAAGTTTACAAGATGAACATTTTGATAAAAATAACGCAGAAAGAGATCAGGTTAAAGGTTCCTCAACACCTACTTGCCGAAATGGAGATGAAAAAATAGTCATGTAGTACGGGACTAAGTATGGCATAACAACAAATTCGAAATTCCCCCCCCCCCCCCCTTGGGGTGGTGTCATATTTTTGTTTTGTTTACACCGTGTTCCGATCGGATTTCTTGTTTCTCTTTTTTTTTTTTTTTCTTTCCTTTCCGTTTTTAAGCGGCTTAAGAAAACCCCAGCGTTCTCTTTTTTCTTTCTTATTTCTTTTATATTTTGTTGAGAGCCTTTAAGCAACAAGCGGAGCCTTGTAGTGTAGTATGGTTTCACTGGCGGCATCGGAATCTTTTCAGTTGGGGAGGCGTTTTAACTGTTAATTTCTCTCTAGACTCTTCTCAAGCAGCACTTAGTTGAACTTAGAGAAGTAAAAAAACACTTTTCCAGAAAAAAAAAAAGAAGAAGGTAACGAGGTTGTGAAGTCAGGGACAGTGGAGTTCAGAAGAGGTCCTTACTTTTTATTATGGTGAGAGGTCAAGTTTTGAATTAATTGTGCAGCAGCTGCTTAGTGTGTGGGAGTGACTAGCTAAGTGTGTCCTTATATCTTTAACGGAGGGGTAATGTCAGTGGGCATTGCCCATTGGGCAAAAACAATGGCGCATACAGTTCCATGCTTAGTGCACAGTGTACGTCCAAAGTGTGGTTTGCTAGAGTCTGTAATTTTCTTATGGGTATTGTTTTGAAGCCTCGCAGGCCTAATGCAGTTACAAATGGTGCGAAAGGAACACTGTCTTGTCAATGACAAAAGGAAACATAGCTTAAATTATTTTGTTGATACTACACTAGCACTGTCTTATTGTTCCTTATGGTATTTTTTCTATGTAAACCAAGGTCATGTATACTTTCTTTTTTTGTCAGGTAGTGGTGAGGAAAAGGAATATACGGTTCTACCGGAAAGCAGAGGTCAACCTTTTTGTGGTTTACTTGGGGACAAACGTTGGTATATTGGGAATGACAGTTTACTTCCTCTCTGAAGCCTGGCACATAACATTTCCGACTTTAAGGGAGGCTTTGTTTTGTCAGGGACAAGGACGAATATTCATTTCACCCTAAAAATATGAGGCTAAACTAAATCTTCTTTAAAATATGAATATTTATTTACTCGTAGCGAGACCTCGTGCTTGGTACTGGCAGGGCGAGTTGAGATGATTCTAAAAATATGGCACTAGGTTCGTTTAGCTTGCTTTCTTCGTTCCACAGTCTAAAGCGCATTGTTTTGTTTGCCTCTGAGAAGGGCAGGGTTTTGATCTGCTTGGGCCAGGGCCACGGCCAGAAATAGGTCGGCAGAGCGGTGCTGGGGCGCGTGTCACTTTCTCCCGTATCTTTGCCGAGAGGATCCACTGTGGCACCGCACTGCCCCAGTTGTTTCCAGCATCCGTTGGTGGCAGCTTTTTGCGAGCTGGCATTTCTCCTTCACGTCGAACTAGTGCTGGGTGCTGTCAGGACATCTTTCGTCACTTTACAACTCTGGGTGGTAGTTGTCTCCAGCCTAGGAAGAGACATTGCATCGCCTCCGAAAAGTGGCCGTGATTATGGTTGTCTTGGGAATCTGCCAACAGCGCTCTCTCGTGTTCGCACAAAGTGCGTCGCCCACGGGATGTTTTATTCTCGTTTTCATTGGCGGGTGGATTTCTTCAAAACGGCGGTATCCCCGATTTTATGAACTCTTCCTCGTTCAGCTCTCGGATTCTCGGTAGTCTTCGCAAGACAAGACTCGAAATCGGACCGAAGAGGACTGTGGCCGACCATAGTTTCGGTTGGGATCTCCAGTTTGATCTTTTATTTGTGCCGGGCAAAACTCTCAAATGTGTCTTAGCCTGTAGTTGGTGGCAGGTTAAGAACCCTGAAAACGCTCCCTGTCCAGCACTTAAAAAAAAAAGTATAATGAAGAACGCTGTTTCTTTTCTACCTTCACTGACTTGCTTTGAGAGCTATGCCTCGTTTCTAAAGGGGTAATCACACGAAGGAGAACTCCGTGGACGGATTTCATGACGTCAACAGCTTGCGGAACTCCGTCCTCAGATCTAGCAGTCGCATGGACGGCAGTGAGCGGCGATATGCCGTTATGGTAGCACCGCTGCTGGAAACTGACGACGATGACATTCTACCTTCTAAAAGAAGGTGCTGGGTGAAAGGTTTGATGCAGAATAAAGAACTTGGGACTCAGAACCAGTTGTACAAAGAGCTCCTTGAAGGCGACACCGCAAAGTATCGACACCTTCAGGTGCCCCATGCCGTCTTCATCGAACTACTGGCCTGCGTCCGTCCACATATAGAGAAGCAGGAAACAAATATGAGGCGTCCTGTGAAGTTCTGATCGTGCCTTTAATGTCAGCAGCCACAGAGTGCATAACTGCATTGAACACAGACGTCATTCACCCACTGTGTATGGCGCAATTTGCGGAAACCGTGCAATCATTTCTCTGGCAGGTTTTTTTCCCATATCGATGCCTTGATGTTTCTTCTTAAAAAGAGATTGCTGTCATTTAACTCTGCCATTTTATGCGGAACCTTAACAACAGGAACGGCGCAGGCGATTTCTTCTGAAGTGTGCGAAAAGGGCGCGGAGGCGCCCGTGGCCAGACGAGGCAAGAGAGTACCGCTAAAAGCAGCGTAAAGCGAACTACTCTGCTACCCACCTGTGGAGTGTTTGTGCTGACAAAACGAACCCTTTGCGCCTCTGCCAAGGAGGAGGATGGCACCGCGAGGCATCAAGAAAGTTTGATGTATGTCTCACGTGATGCGCGCTCCGCGGAGGAAAGTGGCAGATTTCTCCTTCACATGACTACCCCTTAACCATCACCTCTTTTGCTCCACGCAGGCCTCCCAATGAGAAGGTTCTTCAGCCCCCGCCGCTGGTCGGGAAGATGTCTTCGTCGGAGTCCAGTTCGAGTGACTCGGAGGACTCTTCTTCGGCCTCGGGTTCGGAGAGCGAGTCTGAGAGTTCGGAGAGCGAAGCTTCCGCTCCGGAGACAAGTCGCGAGGTAGGCGCACTTTTGTTTCTTCTCCGCTCGTGCTGCATGTGCCGTGACAACTGCGTCTCCAGTATTGGCTGTGCTCGAAAAATTTATTCGATTTATTCGAAATTCCTTGGCCGCTACCGCCGAGGAACGGGCTGTCAGACGTTTGCAAGCAGAAAATCTCTCGCACCTCTCTCTTGTTCCCATAAAAATGCAAACCAAAACCTGATGTCTCCTTGTGCATTCCAGCCGAGCACGCAGAGCTGGAAGCTGGCGAACTTCATCGACAAGCGCAGCTCTCCGGCCGCCCTGGGGGCGGTGCTACCAGCCGGCGGCGGCTGCTCCGGCCAGTCGAGGGGCCCCACCGACCCCTGCGATTCGCTCGTGGACGAGGACTCTTTCACCCCAATCCTGTCGCAGTTCCCCAACCAAGATCCCGACCTCGGCCTCATGCTCAAGAGGTGAGAGACCATGAGGGAGAGAGAACACCGCGTCGTGGTGCTAGGGCGCGTTTCCGACTCTCGTGTTTACCGCATTCTCAAAAGTGGTCCTTCGAATTCGGCTCGTCGACATTGTAAATGTCTTGTGCTGTTGTCTGTTGCGGTAGCTCGGCAGCCGAGGCAAGACACGTTCTAGGCGCCCTACCTGTGGTGTAGACCACACAACGTTCTTGTGGCCTTTGTCGTATCCTGAGCGGGTTTTCAGCGGGTCACAAGCTCTGCGTCTCTTCCCTCGCAGCCCGAGCCCGCAGGGTCTGGACCTAGTCCGCTCGCCGGTGGGCAAGGCAGCTTCCTTCCTCTCTCCCGTTCGATCCAGTCCATCGCAAAGTCCAGCGCCGGAACGGCACGAGCCACCAGCGCCCGTGACCAAGTCATCCGTGGCACCGGCTTCCGACGACGACGAAGGGCCCTGCCAGCTCCAGAATGGCCGAATCACCATGCGGCTGGGCAAGCCGCAGGGCAAGACGGACCTGGAGACGCCTCTGCCGAAGCCAGATGTGCAGCTGGACCCGACGGTCAAGCGCGCCTCCTGGCCCTCGAAGGGCTCGAAGAAGGAGACTGCCCAGCTCCCACTCCCGACGCCGGCGACACCAACCAAGCAGCGGAGCAAGCCCGATCCGGTGGCCAAGCCAGAGCCAGCGAGGGAGCCGGCCCAGCCCGCTTCCAATCCTTCGAAGCGGACCCACTCGGACCGCTACAACGAGAAGCGTTCCAAGCTACACAAGCCGCGTGTCGTGCTCTCGGACTCGTCGAGTGACGACGAGGGTCCCAGCCTGGCTGCCGCCGCCAAGGAGCGCCTGTCGTCAGCTGCTCCTACGGCGGACAAAGACCGCGGCGGCAGCAAGGGCGCCGTTCTGCCGCAGCGGGGACGCCCCAAGTCTTCGTCGTCCTCACGGAGCGCCGGCTCAAAAGGGCACAAGGGGGCGCCCCCCGCAGCCACCCCCGGCGTTCCGCGGACTCCCCCCGAACCCCCCGTGCTGCTCTCGCCCATCGGGCAGCGGTGCGACAGCAGCTCCACCGACGTGAAGGAGAGTGTGAGCGCGGCCGCGACAAACGGTGTGGTTGTGGTGAACATCCCGCTCAGCCGGCTACTCCGGCCACCGGGTAGGCTTGTGGTCCCGGGGCGGCGGCCCCCGTCACCGCCGCCTTCGCCCTCCAAGTCCAGGGAACACTCGCGGGACGCGGAACCAGGTACGGTCGTCGCCACGGCCATCAAGTCGGAGGCGGTGAGGGTAAAGCAGGAGCCACCCGTTGCGGCGGCGCCCGCGTCCAAGGGCAAGAGTACGTCCAAGAGAAAGAGCACGGGGGAGGCGGCAGGTGGCCGCGAGCGCGAGAAGAAACGGCGGCTGTCTGCCGGCTCGTCGGGTTCCGTCAAAGTCAAGCGGGAGTGAGTACCGTTTCTCATTTGGTGGATGCGAGGTAGAGTCTCATGTTAGATTTATCCACACATCTTGCATCACTCTACGCTCGATGCACGCCATCTTATTCGATCTATGAGCCTATTTGAACCTTGCACTCTCTTTCGATTGCGTAAGCTGTTGTGGGTAAGTTTGTACGAGCCCACTGTTGATCGTCTGAAAACAAAGCGCAGCAAGACCTCTCATGGTACAGGCATTTTTTGGGGGAAACTCCCAAATTCTTTGCATAAGTATCTGCACCTGTACCTGAAATACCTGTATGAGCAGTACAAGCCTTCTCACTATATCCATATCTTTATCTCACCAGTCTTGAAGTGGTATCTGCTATGGGCTCTGCCCACCTCTGGAAATGACGTCCGTTGTTGATGTGGTGGTGGTTGTTGTCGTTGTTGTATGAAAGTGAAAATAACTTAGAACAAAATGTTGTGTGGCACTGTGAATTCCAAGAGCTCATACTGTGAGACGCGCTTTCATGCGCTCAGAAACAAAAAAAAAAAAAAAAAGAAATTCGGAAGGAGGTGGAACAAAATAACAAAACCGTTCGGAACCAAATACAGATGTCTATCTTGTTTTGAGCGCTTTTGTTCACGCACTCCACTGCCCCAGGGAGTGTGAACACGTCGCTGACGCCCAACGACCTTGCCGTGATGTGTCACAGCTATCGCTCCGACCATACTGTTGATGTACACGGGACTGCTCGATTTTTATTACGGAGAGGCTCGGCACACTTATTGACATCCCCCTACGGCATCCTCTGGGAACAATTACTGTGAAGTTAGGCTTGACTTCTGAGCTTGTGTAGTGTCTTGCTCTCTGTTATACAAGGCACTGCCTCTGCAGGTTGAAAATAATGTTTGCGTACAAGTAAAGCACTGTTGATGATTAATGAGAGTTTTGGGATCTCCCGTTTCAAGGGTGTGAACGTGTTCCTCCATGAGGAAGTGAGAAAGCTCTCTAAAAGTATGGTTTTCCACTTCCAAGGGTCTTAGTATGTTTCACAGGCTTTCACGCATATCTTGGAGCAAATGTTTAGTGTTCAGTGTTCTTGAAAGGCCTTTTTTAAAGGGAGGCGGAAGGCGGGGAGGGGGGGGGGGGGGATGGGAAACAATTTACGTAGACAATGCATAGTCATATCTCCAGCGAGTCCAATCAAAACGCTTGAAAATTGCCAAGTTGACAGTTTGATTAATCATGATCAAAATATATTATGCGGGAAACTATCCCATTACAAGTAGAAATAAAAAAAATTCTACTTTATTGCTCTTTTCTTTTTCAATTAATGAATATTGCTCTTCTGGTGTGTTGTGCATAGTTCAACTATGTTTTTTTGTTTGTTTTTTTACAAAGCATAGCATGCAGAAACCAACTTTGCTACTTGAGCAGGTCTGTTTTGTTGGTTTGTGGAGCACTGAATTACACATCTGTTTGTCTACGACCACAAAATCAAAAGCAGCAGCCAAACTGAGACCTACTTAAATGTCCATTGCGAGCGAAACGTTCTGTCCTAATCCGACACAAACTTCTCTGCAGGCCCTCCGACGTCCGTCCCGAGGAGGAGGCCGAGAGTCGCCACGCCTGGGGTCCGACGGAGCCGCACCGTTCGTGCGGAAGTCCGTCGAGCCTGAGCTCCTACTCGAGCCAGCGGAGCGGATCCCGTCAGCACCGCTCCAAGCCGTCCTCGAGCAAGACGAACCGTTCCGACAAGTCGGCCGTGCGCCGGGACGCGGCTTCGGCTGCGGCTGCGGTTCCGGCCGACGCGGTCAACGGCGGCAAGAAGAACCACCATCACCACCACCGGGAAAAGAAGGAAACGTCTCGGAGCAGCAAGGACGGGGCCCCAGCGCGCGGAGGCATCGCCGAGGAGCGCGGCTCGGATCCGACGGGTGCGGCGGTTGCGGTCGTCGGCGCGGATCCTCTCTGTTCTAGTCAGGTGCGTGCTGGTTTTGTTCTCGACTGCAGATGAGGTAAACGGATTCCTCTATTGATCTTTGGTTGATTGTGAAGTCCCGTCGCGGTATACACGTTCCTGTCTTCGCTGCCGCTTTTTGGACTGTCTCTTAACTTGTTGCTTGTAGGTCAAGGTATCGCTCCGCTCGTATCATGCCGCAGTGTACCACATGTCGACACTTCGTAATTCTAGGTGAACATGTGGATAGTACACACAATTAGCGCGACAGCGGACAAACACAGGTGTGATGTGTTCGTCCCCTGAAGATGTGGATGTCTGTAAAAAAGGCTCGTTGAACTGCAGTGTCTTTTCGGAGTACACATAGAAGAAGGCAGCACCTCAACAAAAGTTGTAAAAAATAAAAGCTGGCAACAGAAGAAAAAAAAAAGGCACTGACATTTGTTGCACATCATAAACTTTAGCTCAAAAAGCCAGCAAGAAGAAATATAATTTTCCCGGCTAACGTTTTAAGTTTGCAAGGCAGTGAACAAGCATCAGATGTCGTTTTGCGTGCCATACGTCTGCTGCAAACAGCAAAAAGAAAGAAAGAAGACTAAGGCAAATGCAGTTGTTAGAACCCCCCCCCCCTCCGATTTTGATTTGTCACAGCTGGGTCCTGGTGTTTCGCGACAAAATGTTCGCAGCTTCCGTTTCACACTCCCTCAAATACTGTAAAACCCTTCGAGCTTGCGAGCCCTTCATTTTTTGCTGATTTCGCAACTTGAACAATTCTCAAAATTTAAGGGCACGCAAAAAGTTTGGTTTTCGGGAGTTTTCATGCAGGCGTCTGGAATTCGCAAAATTTAGTGGCCGCGATTATGACCTCTGTGTCCGATTCGCGAAAAATAGGAGCCGCGAAAATAAAGGGTTTTACAGTACTTGAAGTTCCCTTCGTTCCAAACCATAACTTTGGCGACGACGTTTTGAACTCTCACCTCGGAGCCACTGACCGGGTTCGGAAAGAGTCTGTTGACGTCGGGCGTTGCCTCTTCTCGTCGCAGGTGCACTCTTGGGTCCTTTCGAGCTCTGAGCAGGGTGATGCTCGCAGCCGGGACGCATCCGGGGCCAAGGCGGCCTCTCTGGGTGCCCCTCCTGGGGCAGCCAAGGCTAAAGAGAACCCGCACCTGCTCTCTCATAACTCCCACCGGGAGTGGGAGTCCAAGTGAGTGGCATTCTCTCCCTTTCTCCCCCTCTTTCCACCTTTCCCAGCTCCTTGCTGGGACCGTAGCCGCACGGCAGTGCAACAACGAGGGCGTGAGGGTGTGAGGACGTGACGTACAGTAGGCTCGCAATAACTAAAAATCTGATATTTCGTGCTTCGGGTTAATTGAAACAAATTTCAAAATTTTTGTTGTCCCACTGTGTTTTTAGTGTATTGATAGGCTGCTCTATTAGAACAGAGTTTTAGTGTACAGTCTTGTCCGGTTATAGCAAGCCTGTTTATAGTGAAATAGTGGTTATATAGAAGAATTTCTAATAATTCAAATTTCGGACAAGCAAAATTTTTTAGCTTCCTGGAGTTTGAAAAGATGAGTCTACTGTACTTTCATTTACCGTGGGTAAACAAGACTATCAAAGGTAGGAGACCATAACATGCATCCGTTTGCTGTTCGTAAACTAGGCTATCAACGACAGTAAGAGAATGTATCATACTCTCTTCACTGCAGGCGGCAGGATTTCTTTTAGAGGATTGGTATCTTGGCTACTTACCTTTCATTGCGAATGACAGGTTACACAATAAACCATTCTTTCTCATTTTTGCAAAATATGTCCTCTTGGGGATGTTGTCTAGTTGGTTTTATTGGTGCCTCCGATTGAGAATATGGGCATTTTGACATTACAGACTGTTGCAGATCAAGAAAAGTGGGACAACCTCCTCCCACAAAGCACTTCACTCTTTCCACTTGAGCAGAGCAAATGCTGGAGGGGAGGAAGGCACCACTCTTGGCAAGCCGATGGCTTTGTGGGAGGGACTTGTTCCTCTTCTCTTAACCTGCAACAGACTATAGCACGGTACCGCCGAGCTGTTGTACGTCGACAAGGCTTCTGAGCTTTGCGCAGAATGCGAGACAGGTCCGGTGTCCTGAGAGTTTGGCTTCCTCCCCGCAGGAACGGGTCCTCGGACTATTTCCTGTGCGAGGCGAAGAAGCTGAAGCACCAGGCGGACCGGGAGAGCGACCGCACGGTGCAGGCGATGAAGTACCTGGAGGCGGTGCTCTACTTCATCCTCACGGGCTCCTCCATGGAGCACAGTCACCACGAGGACAACGCCTACCTGATGTACAAGGAGACCCTGGCCCTCATCAGGTGGGGGTACAGGAAACATTTGGACACATCTCCGCGCTGCATGGGGGCTCGCTCGTGCGCGGGGGGGGGGGGGGGGGGACTGGAGGGGTTTTGACTAGAGTTCTGCAAATAGTGAATAGTGGTTCGAATCAAATAGTGCTGCGTCATTCATAGCCTTCACAATGCAAGGGATATCCAAGACGGCCGGTTTTTTTAGCAGTGCAGAAGCTAGGGATGATTCTGCGCTATTCAATTCAAACCACTATTTGCACACCCCTAGTTTTTGACAGGAGCGACACGTTACGCACGGTCATGTGACACTCTGACGTCACGTGACTGGTGCTCTCGACGTGCGCTCAGTTTGTTCGCAACAGATTCTGTGTGTATGTCTTTTATCAGATGCAATCAAAACACGCCTTAATGCGGTTTGCGCACTCTAAGAAACCTAAAATACTAAAAAGTTTACTCTTTTCCTACTAAAAGTGTGAGCAAACAGGGTGGTACATCCTCTTCTTTGAAATTCGTCTAAAAAAAAGGGGGCGCGTAACGATGTTTGGTCGCATTTTTAGTTGAAGTGTGCTACTCGAAACAGTTGTCTTAATTAACATAGTGACCGGAACTTTTTTTTATTTCTGCAGGCACATCTCATCCAAGTTTCAGAAGGTGCAAGGGAATGACGTCATAGCGAGCATAGACAACAAGTTGGCGGTGCTGAGGTGAGGTTCTTGAACATTCTTATTTACTCAAATAACTCATTCATGCCCAACATGCTGACATATTTCTTAATGCTGACAATAAATCTGCAGACAGGCTTAAAATATGTTTTCTCGAATAAAAGGTAGGGCAAGCATCTGATTAGGTCATGGAACAGTAATTACCCAAGTTGCAGCTAATTACTTTTAATCTATTAATTTTAAAGAGAAAATGGAATGATTTTTGGATAAAGTTCAATTGTTTAAAAAAAATACCAAGTTTTAAAAAATTTGTGAAAACATCACAAGAACTGTAAGGCTCCTGACACTTGTAGTTTGTAATTTTTAATTCAGGTCAGGCTCCTGACACTTGTAGTTTGTGATATTTTTTTATATAGTTCAAGACTGAATTGAGTTTTCGTATTTGGTGGCTATATACTCTGACCTCTAAAGACTCTAAAATAGTAAATTTTTAGACTTTTGCAAGACTTTTTTTGTTTAAAGTTTCTCAAGAGGCCTTTTATTGCTTTTCAGCATTTTTGTTTTAATGCAGTCGGTCTGACTCGTTTGATGTGGCTCAAGAGATTTCTATCAACCGTCTGCAAGCATGCAGACTGTCGATAAAATCTGTGAAGGCAAAATATTGTAACCCCATTTTTGAGTTGTCAACCTCATTGGCATTATTTGTTTTTCTTTTCTATACAGCCTGAGGTGCCTGTCTCTACTCTACGAGAAGCTATACAAACTACGTAAAAATGAAGTCCGGGATAACCTGCGCCTCCTCCACGAACTTCAGAAGGTGGGTTCCTCGTTACTGACATCCACTAAATGACCTTGGAGCCAACTTTGTCTTTGGGTAAGGCAGGGTATGGTATCATTGCTGGGGTGAATAACATATGTTTTGTAGCAAAGAGCTTGTTCCTGTAGCACCCTCTCGTGGCGTCTCATAAAAGTCCAAGAGACTATGCATTCGTTTAATTCAGCACCCAACATTTGACTGAAGGGGTCTGGCATATTGTGTCTTTTTGTGCAACACCAGAAGGTGGACTGCGACCTACAACATGCATATTACAGGAATAAACTGCATTAATTGCCTGTGTTTGCGATAAGAGTGCCCTTAAAAAAACGGATGTTGGTTGGATGTCAGTCGAACATTGGCTGGATGTCAGTCAAATGTCAGTTCAATGTCGTGGCACGCATGCTATCCAAAAGTAGCAAAGGCATTCTTTTTTCGTATCAGACATAGTGCTCTGTGGGCAAGTTGTCGGTTGGATGCTGGTTGGGTGTCGATTTAATGTTGGTTGGATGTCGGTTGAATGTCGGCGTTAGGAATGCCGTTCCATGAAAGACGTCTCCTCTCCTGCACCAGACGCAGGGCTCGGTGGGGAAGCTGTCCTCGCCGACTCCGGCAGCGGGCGGTGCTGCGTCGCGCCTCCAGCCGTCGCCATGCCAGCCGTGTCAGCCATCCCCGCACAGTCCCACGCCGTCCCCGGCCGGGAGCGTGGGGTCCCAGAGCAGCGGCTACAGCAGCTGCGAGCTCGGGAACAACAACAACAACAACGGCGGCGGCGGGAGCGGCCGGAACCCGGCGGCCCACCACTCGTCGGCGGTGGCGTCGGTGGCGGTGCCCCAGGCGCAGTACACGCTGCTGCAGCGCCAGAGTGCCACCCTGGCCAACCTGCACCACTGCCATGACAAGTGGGAGCAGGCAGACTACCTCACCAACTCCAGCCACTCTAAGGGTGGGTACCTCTCTCTCTGCAGAAAATACTCCTCCCAAGCGGGACACGTTCAACACGTGGGTGTTGGGTATATTGAAAAGGAAAAGGGGGGAGAACTTGTTGGGTGCTAATGTAACAACTCTACTTTGCAGTAAACATTTCTGAATAAAACTGCCGCTATTATTTACGATAGACCGCAATATTCTCGCAATGTCTTTTTCAAATTCGATAGTTAGCGAGTGTACACATCGCGACACTGTTAGCACGTACACGACGTCGGCGGATTTTCGCATTTCACTTCTAAATAGTATTAGCGAGCAGGAAATTTTATCGCTTACATTATAGAACTAAATGAGCTCTTTCCGTAGCATTAATAATTTGGATGACATCCCTTGATTTCAAAGAGAAAAACTGGAAAAACCGGCGATCGCTTGCACGTGCTAACAGTGTCGTGATCTGTGCTTCCAAGAAAATTTACATGAATTTCTCTATAGTTCTATTCTTAATTTAACTACTTAGTTACCATCTTTATATAGGTGTTATGTGTTCGAGCTACGGTCAGTAAATTGAATTAAAACTAAATTAGACAAAGCAGTGGAAGGTTGCTTGGGAAGAACCTTAACCAGTCTGGCTGGATTGTTTTTAAAGGGTATGTTTATCGATCCTTCATGTGCCAATTTTTGTTATTGTGAAGTTCTACCTATAAAACATAATTTATGTTTGTAATCCAATGACGAAAGATCTTCTAATCTGAATTAAGAATTTCAATTTTATTACAACCTTCAGAACTCAAATGAAACATCAATTTGTGCGCTCAAGGTTACTCTATTTTAACATAATTTCGGAGGAATGCGCTATTTGGTTTACATTTTATTTCGTACCTACAAAAATTATTTGCTGTGGTCCGTACTGGTTTTCATTGTTCAGCATCTCGTTGCCATGCCTATACTCCGTTTCACACTTAGCGTGCAACGATGTCAAAGCTACTGGCGCGAGCGCGTGGCTTCATCTATGGTTTTGTTTGCACGAGAACGCGTGCAAATGATCAACAAGATCAAGCCCCAAGCTCGCGCCAAAAGCTTTGACAGCGTTGCACACTAAGTATGAAACAGAGTATAGTGCTTCTATGTGTAAACAAACAGCTACTTTTTGTTGCAGTGCTACTGAAAGGTTGTGCAAGAGTGAGTACGTAAAGTAGGCATGTCTTCAGGTTGGATAGTCCAACACAAGAATCTTAACATGTACTATTCGCAGTGGCACGAATAAAAGTGGAGCGTGTGGTTGTGCTCCAAAAGTACTTTTTACTACTCCAAAATGGATTTTTGGTTGCTCCAAAATGACTCTGGTCAATCACGTCTTGAAGTGCTTGAAATCGGACTTGTTGGATCCTTTTCAAGTGCACTGCACTTACGGGTTATGAGCTGAGTGCTCAGTTCTTTCGTGTTTATGCTCGCGTGTAGCCTCGATAGAACTTGAGATCATTGGTGTCACGTGACCCGACCCTCGCACACACTTTGTGTCAGGGTGTCAAGTTACACTATGACCTGACACCCTGACAGGCTTTGTGTCAGGGTGCCAGACTACACTACACCAACATCACACGACACTGTTAACATGTTGAGAGCCTGATATAAAAAAAGGGTTTTTGTGCATCGAGGTTTAATAACTCCGTTTCACCGTAAGCGTGGGTGAAACTAACACCACAAGCACTAGCGCGGCGTCCCAAACAAAGCTTTCACTTTGAACTCGCTCGTGTAGCTTCCCTTTTGTTCCCACTTACGGCGAGATGCCGGTACGGGCGTTTTGTGTGATGATGCAGGGAACGCGCCGACGAGGCGGAAGGTTTTGACGACCATCAATATGTTTCGCTGTAACTAACGAAAAACGCGCAATGTCTTCGAGTGCGTCCTTTGTTAACCAGACCGACCTCTTTCTATCTGTCGTTTTGCAGAGTTCTTTGCGGAGCTGGACAGGGACTGCGGCAAGTTGACCCTCCACAGCTCGTCGGCGGAGCTGGTGAGGTACGTGCGCGAGGGCGTCTTCCGGCTGAGGCATCGACTCGCCGTGGCCACCGGCGCGGCCTCTTCGGCCGCCTCTTCAGCCATCAAGACAGAGGGCGCCACGTGATTCACCCGCTCCCCCTTCACCCTTCGCCACGTTTCTTAGATTGTTGTTTTTTTTTTTTTGTTTTTTTTTTTTTTCGTGTTGTTTGCGGAACATTCTGGTCCTATCCGAGACTCGTCGTCGTCGGCATCTTCCGTTTCTCATCGGTGCAACAACAACAACGGACGACGGACTACCGAACCTGCGGGCAGTTAACTGCAATATATCTATATTTATGTATACACATATACATGTGTGTATTTGGAACGTGTGTATATGTGTATATATATGTATATGCATATTTTTTAAGAAACAAAATGAAGAAAACACGGACTCTCTCTCCTCTTCCTCCTACACACATTCTTTGCCTTTTTCCCCACCCGAGTGTTTTTTTTGTTGTTTTTTTATCCATCGTTTATTTGTTAATTTTTCCTTTTTTCTTTGAAGGGAAGTGAGATCCACAGGCAGTTTATTGTTCCTGTTAATGGCGTTGTGGCAGTTGGATGGATTTGATGTACATATGCCGAGGAGAGAGGAGAGTGAGGAAGTGAAACGGTGGAAGAACATTGTACATACAAACTAAAGAGAAAAGGGCAAAATGTGGAAGTTGCGTGTGCTCTTCTGAATGTGTGATCTTACTGCTGGCAAGGAGGGGCGGGGGCCTGTGCAACGATTTCGGTCCCGTGGCCACGTCACGTGACCCACTGACCAGTTATTGCAACGGTGTTACAGTAGCCATTTTCTTGTCGCTGTGACGACGGTGTTTGACAGTCGGATGTTGGTCGCTCGGACACTCTCGCAATAATCAAACTTTGGCTACCGTGACAGTGTCCCAATAGCCAGTCATTTGGTTATTCTAAGCCAAGGTTGTTGCGACCGTGTCACGTGGTTTCGAGGTCTTGCAAATTGAATATCATCCGGTCATGTGACTTGCGGTTACGTATTCCCGGTTGAGATATCGGCCCAGGTCGCACAAACATTGGTGCAGGCAGTTGAGAAGGGGTGACGTGACCGGAGGCAAGATGGGGAAGCGTGGCTAATCTCCCGTCTACTTTTTTTTTTATAAAACATGTACAGAATCATGCTCCCGTGATTAAAGAAAGGACCACAACAGCCCGCCGCTGAACTTGAAACTCAAGAAATTAGTTCTTTTTTTTTGTTACAATCGTTGCGTGCCTGATCTAAAAAACTGTGTTTTCTCCATCGAGATTAATTGACTGGCCGCAGTGGCTAATGCGACTTTGTTTCCCTCGTTTTAAAATCTCCTCATCTCGCGACTACCGTAAAATACCGAGCAAGTGCCCCCTCCAAATTTAGACATTGTGGAAATCAAAATGGGGAGGGGGCCCTTACTCAGTTCGGGAATAAATAACATTCAAGATGGCGGCCACAAAAAAAAATTTAATTTTGATAAAATGGGAGGGGGCGCTTACACGAGGGGGGGGGGGGGGGGGGCGGGGGCGGCACATGCTCGATAATTTACGGTACAGAAATTCCCTTTTTGTTTTCTTTTACTTGCTGTTTTTTGTAGCAGGGTTAGGTTACAAGAGCATGGTGTGTGCCTGAGCGACGTGCATCTGAGATCTGACAGCTTCTTAGAACAAGGAAGGTGGAGAGGAGGGGAGACTCCGAACTAACTTATTCGTCTGTCAGCCAATCGGGGAGAAAGGGGACGGGGACTCTGCCTCGGCCGCCGACCAATCAACCAACCAATCGCAGCAGAGACGCGTCGTCGCGTCGCCGAAGATGCCGTTTGGGGATGAGAGGGGGCGGGGAGGGGAGGGGGGTGGGGAGGGGTTCAGGCTGTACATACACACGTTTGGGGCAAGAATCGTGTCTAGTTTGAAAGTGCCAGTCTTCGATGTATTTTTTTTCCCTCCCCTTTGATCGTGGAGCTTGCACCTGTTGCTATTTTTTCACACAGTGTTATTGGGGGAAAGGGTGTCGAAATGGGGGAGAAGGGCGGTGAGGCAAGCATGACATTGCCTCAGGTTTACCAGCGTTGCCTGACGTTTTTTTGTTTTTTTTCCGACGTCTGCACGGCGGCATTCTATATTTATACAGATAGATAGTAGAGAGACTCCGATTTTTTTAAACGGTGCAACGACGGATGCGCGGCAGCTTGCTGGCGACCGTTTCTCCTTTGTCGACCTCTGACTGTGGCACAAGTGTAGTTTCGTTTCCCTCGCTGTGGTATACTAGCCTTCCGCTACCCCCGTCTGTTTTTTTTTTAATTTAGTCAAATATTGCTAGCAAAGTCAACATATTATTGAGGTACCGTCTCCCACGGGATGAGGCAGGCGTGTTCGAGTTTTGCCTATTTTTATGTTGATTTCTCCGGCGGCGCTGAGCAAGAATAAAGCAAAGTTTTATCGAACGAACAGGTTTTCTTTTTTTTTTTTAAGTCTGCTGTTTTTAGGGTGAGAGTTTTTACCGTCCCAGCACGGGAACGGCGAGTAATTGCTGCCTATGCAAACGAAAGTGTTGGAGTCGAAAACGACTTGCGTCTGGGACGTTCCGCAACATTGGTAACTTTTTTCTTTATGTTGGCGTCATTCTGTGGGCAATGTTGCGCGTCGCAGGTAACACCTCGGATGATGTGATCTTTGTTCTGTGAAACTCGTCTGCTACTACCGATGGTGGTACCCCTACTGCTACTACTAGCTACAATGACAGCAGAAGTGCTTTACACGTGTCTCCTTTTTTTTGCTTCATTCTCTCGCTGTGGAAGTGCCATACCATTCAAGGGGGATACGACAGGGAGTGTATTGTATTGTCATTTCCTTGCGCCTGCAACAAGGCCTTGGGAGCGAAAAACAAAATAATAATAGTAATTTTTTTCTCCGAATATTTTTCCAGCGTGCATGTTTGCTGACTATTTACCTCCTTCCCATGACCCCCCTTCCACTGTTCTTCCCCCCCCCCCTTTATTTTTGTACTTTATTTATGGAGAACATTGACTCAGAGGCTTAATATATATATTTAAAAACAAAAACACCCAAGGGCGTTATTTAAGACGACTGCAAGCAGTTCCGGATGCAACTGTTTTTGCTTTTTAGGGGTACAGAAAGAACTCATAGAAAACAAAAAAAACAACCTTTTGCTTTATGTACAAAGAGGAGGGTAGTGGTTTGTTCCAGTACTATTAAAACGAGATTTCAATTGCTTGTACATTCTCTCATAAGCTGTGTTTTTTTTTTTTTTTTTTTTTTAAGAGGACGCAGAATCTGTGAGCATTTTCCTTGCGTGGGCTTGCAGTTGGGCTCTTTTGCTGCACGCAACAGTTGAGACTAATCACCGACCGAACACAGCAGGAGGCGGGATTTTCAGCGTCCGATCCTTACCCAATCGCACGTGGAAGGCCGAAAGCATTTGTACATGAAGTTGGAGAAAAGTCTTTTTTTTGTTGCCGTTTCCCTATTTAGATGCCTCCACGACTTCTGCACATGTTTTATGATTGGTCCCCTCCCCCTGCCCCTCCTCTCCCATTGCCCCACATATACATATATATATAAATATATCTATATATCAGCAGCGGATGTTTTTGTTACCTTTTCACGTTATGAACGCTTGTACATAGGTGTAAATATTTTTCCACGTTTAGAGGAGTGTGCAGAAATGTCATATTGCCTCTGTATGAGCCACGAGCCGTGGAGTCATGGTTTTTTGGAGAGAGAGAGAAAAATTGCAGATGTATTTGCTTTCTTACAAAAGCTATAAAATATATGCATTTGAAAAGAAACTGTGCTTCCCTGTCGTCATTCTGCATGTTGGATTAACCCGCTTCATTTTGCTTGCACAGAGATTGGAAAGAAGTGGAAAAAATGTACTCTTTACGCAGGAATGAATCCTAGCAACGGCTGACAAGCCCGTTATGCTCATCATAAAAAAAATTTTTGGGGGGTGTCAGTGTCCCTTTAAGGTTACCCTGGTGATATCCCAAACCGCCTGGTGATAGCTACGAAAGTGCGGAGTGTAAGCAAATTTGCAAAGGAAACGTCATACTTTTGGTTCTTAATTTTCAGGTTAGGTGGCGCAAGCTACCGCCTATTAAAAGGGTACAGCCGTTAGCCAGAGCCGTATATGTAGAGAGTTTGGTCAATGGGGAGGCGCGGGCAGAGCCAGGGTGTGCACCAGACTCGGAAAGAGGGCTTGGCATGCTCTCTTGATTAACCAGAAGCCGAAAAGAATCCCCTAGCGGTGGTAGCGACAAACAGTTCTGATCAAACTTCAAAGGTCTATGTTCGTAAATGGTTTTAAGAAGCGCGTAAGAGTGAAGTGTAGTAACTCTTCGTGGTTGAAAATAGGGTGCACGTGTTGTTTTGATCATGATCATGCAGAAAGATGTAAGAAACGAATGCCCCGCTCAACCCTGTTTTGCTCGGACAGAGCGTGACCGCTCGGACGGCAGATTCCTGGCCCTCGGCGCTTGGCGTACGGATTATGTCGATCGTTCCGCTAGTCACACTCTTCCACCATCATTTTGGATGAGCGTGATTGAAAATCACGTGTACCATATTTTCAGTCAACGAGAGTTACTCTAATGCAGTTATCAGGCTTGTTTCTCGCGACCACCGCCAGGGTATTATTTCCGGCTTCTGGTTGGTCACATGCGAATTTCTGAAGACGCCCTGGAACACGCCCAGCCCGGTTTCAGCCAATGGCGCCTCCTCATTTGTCTCCTATACTTCCCAACAAATGGCCAAACCGTTAGCATCCCGCATCCAGCCAACCAGGGCAAGCAGGAAACAGCAGCAGAGGGAGAAGATTGGTGAATAAGGCAACCTCATTGGAATAAGGTCTAAAGAAGGTCAAAATTTTACGCAAAAAGATACGTAGAGAGGGAGTTTTAGAATAACGTACGCAATTTTAGCGCACGTTAGCGCTAAATTTAGCGCTTGTATAGCGCACGCGACACAAGAGAGTTTTAGAATAGCGTTTCTCCGTCGCGGCGCAAAAGCCCAAGCATCTCGCGCTTGCGACACCACTAATACCCTGTTCACACGGGTCACCTAAAGGACCTATAACTTAGGTCCCTTTGCTAAAGGTACCTGGGGTAAAGGGCGTTCGGAATCACACGGTAAATGAACGAAAATAAACGGAGTCTTTACGGTCGATGTTTACTGCATTGGGGATAGCCCGGGTAAACCGCAGGGCAAAAGAACACTATATATTTCCGTGTCTAAACAGTCATGAGGCACATTTTTAGATTATTAAATGTGACACATTGCGTTAAAATACTAAGTAATAATTGTAATGTTTCTTTTATTGCAATGTTCACCTAAAAAGTAGTTTTTCGTTAGAACATCCGGCTGGTCCTTAGGCTGGACTGGCCACACTGGCCCGGCGGTTTGTTTTGGAGACGGTTCCGAGCCAATTTTCCGAGCACTGTGAATCCGAGCACGTGGTACCGAAGTTTTGTGACCGGTTCTTTCTGCTCCTCGGATTTTCTCTCTTCTGCGTTTATCGCTTCGATTGCTTCGGTCCCGGAAGAACCGTCACAGACCCACCACCCTCCAAGTGACGGGCCGCGACCACGACCAGCGTCTCCCGATGGACGACGACGAGTGTCTGGGAATTATGTGGTCGCTGCAGCAACAACGGACACAGTTCCTTCTGCTCGAGGAGCGTATACAAGCCGCGGAAACGGAAGCGGATGAGCTGGAGGAGAAGCTCATGGCCACAAACTTTACGGTCGCCGCTCTCCTTGCGGAGAAGTGGACTACGATCCCACGCGAGCGGGTAGTCTACGTTCGGTCGGGGAGGTGGTTTGAGGAGACGCTGCCTAGAATGGGCGATCAGCATTTCCGTGCTTGTTTTCGCGTCTCCTCGACCACCTTCCGGTATCTTGTGGACGTTTGCCGGCCGTCAATGCTTCGGCAAGACACCGCCATGAAGACGGCAATAACGGTGGAGAAGAGGGTGGCCATCAGCCTGTACAGGCTCTGCTCCACCGCGGAGGAACGAACAATCGGCCACCTCTTTGCCGTTGGCCAGTCGGTCGTCAATGAGACGTACCGAGAATTTTGCGACGTCGTCATTGAGGAGCTCGAGGCGCGCACAATAACAATGATCCGAAACGAAGATCTCGACAACCACATGCGCGAGTTCCAGGCAGTGCTGGGATTTCCCAACGCCATCGGGGCTCTCGACGGCTGCCACCTGCCTGTGTCGCCACCAAAGGACTTGGCTGTTGACTACCACAACTATAAAGGATGGTAAGCAGACACTGATACTCGTTTCCTGCAGACAACTTTGCTTATTTTATAAAATTTCAGGGTCAGAAATTAAGTACTTGTACTAAAGTATGCTGCACACAAGGCTATAAACCAGATATAGATACGGGTGTAGTCACGCCAGAGACCATTCCCTTTGTTATTTCGTTATTTTGTGCCCCTAGCCAAGTTAAACCCATGATGTCACCAAAGCACCTGCAGAGTGAGCAAATCCAACTGCCCGTGGGTGGGAGGCACATCAAGGATCCATTTCACAAACAGCACTACTTACATTCAGTAGCAAGCAATTTAGCTATGTTTGTTGTGTGCGGTGCTTTTGCTGTTCCTTGCTCACATGTGGTCACTTTGTTTTAGGTACAGTGTCATCCTCCTGGCCCTGGTGGACCATAGATACCTCTTCCGCTACATCAGCGTGGGCACCCCTGGGAGGTGCCATGATGCGAGCGTCTATCGGCGCTCCCCACTGGCGCATCTGCTCGAGCAGAACCAGACTGCTGTGCCAAGGGTCATTGATGGCACGGAGATACCTCCCCTCGTCCTGTGTGATCAGGCTTTTCCCCTGACGAGGAACTTGATGAAACCATTCCCCCACAGCCTCAACCACCCCCAAGGGAAAGGGGACTTTAACTACGCCCTCTCTAAGGCCAGGCGCGTGGTCGAAAATGCGTTTGGTCGTTTGAAGGCCCGCTTCCGCATCGTCCTCAAGCGGATGGAAATGAGAATCGACCACGTGAACACTGTCGTCAGAGCCTGCTGCACCCTACACAATATCTGCGAGATGCTCAACGACGGGGCGGAGAAGCAGTGGGTCGACGCGGCCAGGAAAATAGAAGAGAGTGCAAAGCGCGAGCAGCCAATGCACAGGACCAAGGCCACAGAAGATGGCGCCGATGCAGTGCGGGATGCGCTCGTTGCATACTTCGAGGCGAACCCGCCCTCTCAGCGCGGCTAAATCCCAGACGTTCGCCCTCTCAGCACGACTGAAACCCGAGACGTTCGCACAGTAAACTACAGAACACTAATTGGTTAAAGGGGCACTGAAGCCATTCTTTAAGGTCTTTTTTTATGTTGTATTCTTTACAAAGTGTTAGTGACTACATATATCAAATTCTATAATACAAAACTGTTTATTCATCTCGGGGCAATGGGAAAACATGCGGACTCTTATTTCTCGTGGGGTACAATCTCTGGACCACAGAAAGTCCTACAATATGCACTACATGCCATTAATCTGTCCACGTGACATTGAATTCTCATTGTTATTCCAGGCAGTGAAAAAGAAATAAATATTCCTTTTCTGAGCTGGCTCAACCACTCGCATGACACAGCAGTTTTCATTTCTTTTCAGCAAAGCATGCTTTGTCCACTTAAATACAGGTCATTGCTACAGTAAGCATGAAAGCCCAACCAATTGAGATTTCACAGTACAGTCGGTTAGAAATAAAACGCGACCAGCGGCTGCATGGTCTTCACTAGACTCTGCGCTTTCTGCTTCATACAGAGGTTGCGAGTGCGGCTTTTGTTTTGATATGTTAGTCACACACCCGGTGCATCTCAAACTTAGGCGTTCCTCTTTTAAAAGAGACAGCATCGGACAGAACCGTGTATCCACTGTTCGTTCCATGCTGACCGTACATATACGTGTAGGCTCTACATAGGTGCCAGTAATCACGCACCACAATTGTAATAAGCAGCTGCACAGTTAAAATTGCAGACTGGCTAGTTGTTCTTGCTATATCATTGATGTTTGCATTTAGTTTACCTTGTAGCTGCACCTGCGTTTCAGTGCCTACTAACAGATTTTTACCAGTTTTATGACGATTGTCCCATCCTGAGCAAAATATCTTGAATCTGGATTCAAATGACAGAAGCATGTAGCCCTTCAATGCTTCCAATCCAAACTCAAGTAAAAAAAGGGATATTTCTCAGAGTTTCCGTTTTTATTTTTCCTTCCGGGACCTCATGAAATCCAGGAAATCCCGCTGGAGCTGGTTCGACTCTTCCATTATCGAAAACTGCCGTTGCCGGTCTTGGTGGGCCCTCTCCCTAGCTTCGGAAAGCTCTTTCCTTTGTTTCCTCTGCTCCTCAATGAACAGCATGAGAATGTCCCCCTGTTTCATGGAGGACTTCCTTTTTTTTTTTGGCCGTTCCTCGAGGGGTTCTTCCTTTAGATCCACCACCTCGTTGTCGTCGTCTGGCCCTTCGTGAGGGCTGTCTCCAGGTTCCTGATAAAAACCAATGGGTGCTCATGAGAAAGGTTTACACTTGATGATGTATGCATACCGCATTATAGCAGCATATATCAAAGAGCAAATCGGGCGAAAATAAGGTGCATACTAACTTTCAGTGTAGGACCAGGAGAAGCTGAAATAATAGAACTAAAACATGCATTTTACACTTGGGTATGAAACTAAAACAAACAAAAGCGCCACTAGCAACAGTTCCATTATCGTTGCCGTTACAGCTGCCGTCACCCTTGAGCACTACACCTCGTAGAAGGTGTGCTTCCCTCGTTTTCCTTACTCTGCATTCTTTTCTCGACACCGAAAAGAAATCAGAGTTGACTTTTTAAGTTTTGTCGACGCTCTTCTGAACTGGAAATAACCACATTGTTATTGGAGTCAAGCAGTTTATGCTGCCAAGACGGATGGAGAGCTGCTTCACATGTATTCGGCGTGCCCCACTGGCTTTTTACAAACAGACCCTAACAAGTGCCACAGAAAGAGCTGGCGGCACATGACTATCACAGGTGCGGGGCACAATTTATGTATGCTCCACCCAAATGAGTTTTCTTAATGTTTGCTTAGTTTGCATTATTAAGCTACAGAAAATCCAGTTTTTTATGATTGATTTCACCGTGCACATGAAATAGCACAAGCATGTCTTTACGTGCCGCGGGAAACAGATGAAATTTCTTTGGTGATGCCAAATGTCACGTCTGCTTCCGCACACTCAACAGTTGCTTCGATTCCAGCTTATAACGACGAATCAGTAACTCGTTATGTTAACCATTCTCTCCAAGCTTATTAAAAGGTTGAATCGCACATCTCTGCCTTCGTCATAATTCAAGGCATACGAAATCAGTAAATACCTCAACAACATCCGCAGGGAGCGAGTCATTCACGAGACTTGGGTCGTTGACGGGCAGGCTCCCCAAGAAACTGTGTAGATCGTAGTAAAAGGGCCAGGAGACCTTTCCTGACCCAGTTGTCAGGCTTTTCTTTTTAGCCCTGGAGGAAAATAATGTAGGGGTGATGCGATTTATTCAGCAACAAGGGCTTGTTGCCACCTATATACAATCTTTCGTCTGCATTTTCTTTTTACAGTGCAGATGAATAGCAGCAGGGCGTTGGCAATTAATTTTTTCATTGTCAATTACTCCCTTCAAAGCTCCAGCTAGAGCTAACCAACCGAGCAAAGATAACAATTCATTTTGCCTCAGAGCCACCAAGGCGGCACGACGAGAACACAGCTAAATAAGGTAGTTCTAATCAAAACATTGAGTGTATCGCGTCAAGAAAAAACTTACCAGGTCTGGTTACGACGTAAACTGGGATATATATATATATATATCCGGCTTATATTTAGATACATATAAGCCGACCTAGCAACACTAAAGAGCGTGTTTGGCACAGTTCTGCGAGCGCGACCCAGAACGGGAGGCACTCACTTGATCGAATGACGTTTTAGCGAACGCCCACGTATCACCGTATGACACTTTAGCGAATGGTCGGACGCCGGTATACATTTTTGTAATGAGCCACCGCAGACTGTCGCCGCGAAGAGGCGTAAGCGCAGCGCGGCAGATGGGTTAACGCGCGCCCCCGCTCGCTAAAACGTCGATTCGCTCAAATGTCGCTGTTCGCTAAAACCTCATTCGCTCATGCCCCAGGACATAAGCATCATTCTGAAAACAGACTCACCTGTACGTCTGGTTCAGATTGTCTATCTTATCGCTGACTTGCTTGCGCGTCTTGACGATAGACAGTCTCTCCAGGCCTACACGGATCGTCTCGTAGACGCCGGAGTTTCTTCTGTGCCGCCGAAGTTCCGCCAAATTGTCCTGCCATAGCCGAATGAGAGCCCACGTCTCTGACTCGGACCAGTGCACTCGCGCGTTTTTTTTCTTTTCGCTGGTGCCGCTAGAGCTGGCACCCCAGTTCAATGGCTCATGCGCAGATGAAAGCATCGTCACAAAAATCTCCTGCGCCGAAGAGCGCGACTCGTCGTCGTTCCGTGTGGGAGCAGAGGTAGCAGCCATTGCGTCTCTTCCCGCCGCTGTTGCCGCCGCCGCTACCTGTTACCGGGAGTAACATTTTGTTCCTATTGTATCACGTATGTGGTCCCCATCTATTTTAATACTTTGACTTCCTAAGATTCTAGTACCAACGACGCATTAAACGACAAGAAAACATAAACGATCATTTTTATTTGGAATTTATGGGTCCGAGGCTACTCCCTGTAGCTGCAAACGGAGATCGGGAAGCTCCGTTTACTCCTAAGGTACCTTTACCGAAAGGGACCTTTACGCCCCGTCTGAATACGATCTCCATCTCCCTTTACTATAGGGACCTATGCTACAGGTACCTTTAGGTTACCGTGTGAATGGGGTATAAGATACAGTAACAATTTTTATTTCACACACGAAATGCTGTAAGTTTAGAAAAAAAAAAGTTTTTTGGTCCAGAGTAACATTTTAGATTTGTTTAAACATGAGAATGCGACGCGAGCGGTTGACCAGTCGTGCCCGCTTGCGTTGCCTCGGCTAGAGCACTATATAGCTCCTACGGAGCAGAGTAGCGCAATCCTTTGAACCCCGTGTTTTGCCGACAACATGGCCGACAGAGCGGCTCGGCGCGAGTCACGTGGTACTCAGGGTTCCAGGAGGCGGCCCGCCCTATGGGAGAATACATGGAGATCGATACTACACGGCTGATTAAAAAATGAACGGCGAGTTCACACTTTTCAAAACTAGTCTGTCGTGAAGTTAGTAAAGCACTAAACACTTTATCAAAGTTTTAATAATATCGGATGCGTGTGCAAATTTTGAGAAGGCAATTTCCAAGGCAATGGCGTTTGAAGCAGACGACTTTTGCTCGCAGCGGAGATGGGCTTTTCGGGTTGGCCGGAGCGGGTCACGTGAATGGTGTGACGTCGCCGTGTCGTCTGCTGCATGATGCCGTTCAAGCAATTTTTTAAAAAAAGTCAGGTCCTTGCGGGGCACAAAACTTCGCGCAAATTATTCTAAAATGTTCCATTATTATGTCAAAAACGATTGCCATTCCGTACATTCCCACAATACTGAAGAAACAACGATTTTCTCACGTTCTCCATGCATTTCTGACCGCAGTTGGAACCTCCGGGCGTTCGCCGCTAGTCGCCGAGAGGCGGCGTTCTAGATTGCGCTACTCTGCTCCGAAGGAGCTATATAGTGCTCTAGCCTCGGCAAGAGAGGTCTTGTGTACTGCAGGGGGCTATGTTGCGCTTTTTGCACTCCCAGGAGTAGGGGTGTCGCGAACTTTTGTCGAACCGGATTTTTAGGTCGAACTTTCGGGGTTCGACTGTGTCGAACCGGTACGACGAACCCTCGAACTTTTCACCAGATTCGACCGGTTCGACTTTGTAGACACTGTGGCCAGACCTTGTTACAAGCATGTCTAGGTTTGGAGAATTTTTTTTTATGCAATGCGTTATTTTATTTTAATGAACAGTTGCAATTAAAAGAAATCAATTCTTATCACTGAAGAAGTTAATAACTTATTTTTTTGAACTGTATTAACTGAAAGAACCAACCAGCGCTGCCCTTGATTCATCTCTCGGCCATCACCATCCAATCCGAAGCCAACTGGCCAGTCTGTCGCGCATGCGCACACGAGTCGAACCTCAATACAAGGTTCGCCGAACTTTTCACTAAAAGTTCGAAAAAGTCGAACCTGGTCAACCTCGAACCGCGGCCGGTTCGCGACACCCCTACCCAGGAGACTTGGAAGAGGGAAGTGACGTCAACAATACAGCAAACGCAGATTGGATGTTGACAGAGAAAACAAAATAAACATCCAATCTGCATTTGCTGCGTTGTTGACGTCACTTCCCTCTTCCAAGTCTCCTGGGAGTGCAAAAAGCGCAACATAGCCCCACATCGCACCTTCGCCGAGAAATGTTCGCGCGTCGCAAGCATCAACTTGCCAACGAGCTTATTGCAAGTTGCCGGTGATCGTTGCCAAACCGAGTACAATGTCGTCCCGTATTGAAAATTGCAGTTGCGAGGATGCCGCCGACGTCCACTCACGACGCCGCCAAAATTCTGAAGCCGCCATTTTTTTAACTCTGCTCGTCTTGGCTTTAGCCAACTTGTCATCACGAATCCTCCTTGGAGAAGCGCAGACTCTTTGCGTACGCACGCTATTTCCGAGAAATAGCGCACGCTAAAATTGCGCACGCAAAGCGCAAAACCTGATTTGCGTTTGGAGCATGCGCAGTGGCGACGACGCTATTCTTTGCGCACGCAAAGCTTTAGCGTGCGCTATTCTAAAACTCCCTATTAACTCAGGGGGGTAAAGGTGGGTGAGGAGGAGTGGCAAATCCCGTGCGCCGACACCCGGGGTCCCGAGTGAACGATCGCAAAAGAGAGCGACAGAACACGAGAGAAGAAAGCAACGTTGCCATGGTAAACGCGAAGAGTGAAAACCCTCAGCAATATAAACAGTGATAATTTAACGTTGTAAACTAAATTCTGAGCTATTCTAGCGCTTATAAAAAGCAATAAAGTCATTACGCTGCATTAACTTCCCTTCTGTCGAAATCTCGGAAATCTGGTGGTTGCGCAGTTTCGTATTCCTCAACCGCGCCCAGCCGCGCCCCACCGGCGAAGCCGGGTATATATGGTGTAGTTTAGCGAGTTTAGCAATAACGCGAGGCCGTACATCTGCGCGCTATGCACAAAGAAAGCTTCGAAAGGAACGCGAATATCTTTCCAGCGGTAAGTTCGTGGATTGTTGAAGTTCACGAAACTGCTCTGATGATGTAACCGTGTTTGGGACCCCGAGGGTCTGCCTGCATGATCCGCCGCTTGCGGCAGCCAGAATGTATAGGAAAATGGCGGACCTTTTCCTCTAGAGTTAGTATGTATGATCTCTATGCTTTAACTAGGCCAGGTGACACAAGCTACCGCCCACTGATCTCTATGACAATTGCTGGATCGCGCTTCCCCGCTTGTTCGCTGCAGCGCAAGTGAAGCCACCGGGCTTCACTCGCTTGGGATACGATTTGCCGTTTTTGCTAGCCTTTGCTGCGGTTTTCCAGCGTGCTGTCGACACGTTTTCTACTCGTTCGTCGTCATTCGCCGAAGAAGTTTTTTGAAGACTCTGTGTATTGTTGAGACTTGCCGTTGTGAACACGTGGAAAATTTTACGCAAGTGCAGTGTCGCAGGAAAAAGGCACAACGCGTCGAAAGGAAGGGCTGGCGGCGTGTTCAAAGCTTCCTTGGCACGCCGAAGTGCCGTGTCTCTGTGCCTTCGCACGCTTGGATACCGGTCAAGAATTGACCGGCGCGGCGTCAAGAATTGACGCCGCGCCAAAGTTCTGAACGTGTGTCGCGCGTAGATGCCTTTAGATCATTTATATATATCGGCCACGGAGTTCTGGATCGTCCAGCTGTTCCGGTGAGTTGCTATCAATAAAAGGGGGAGATCTGTACGTGTTCTTATGTACTATATTAACCATGGCTATGTCCCAAATCTACTCGAATAGATTCCGTGGGAGCACGAATAGGGCAACGTTGTGGAGCCAGGGGGGTTTTCGAAAGCAAAAGTACAAGACGGCGAGAATGAAAATCTTTGAAGCGCGGCCGATATGGTCGTGTGCAATCTGCTGACCAATTACAATTAGGCGAGCCGCGCTCAAACGTCAAGTGCAATTAAGTAGGTTGATAATAAGCCAGCACTGATCAGTGATGAGGAGCTGTTGTGCACGGTATTGTGTAAATCGTCTAAGGACGAAAAAAAGACGTACCTTCCCCCCATCTTCCGTCGCTAGTGGACGCTGGATTAAGCTCGTTCCTAAACCGCGAGGGGAAAAGACGCTGATCCAGAGGCACGAACAGCTTCACGCACATTGCACTCGCTAAACACATACACACGGCGTCGGTTCTTGGTCGGTATCCAAGCGTGCGAAGGCACAGAGACACGGCACTTCGGCGTGCCAAGGAGGCTTTGAACACGCCGCCAGCCCTTCCTTTCGACGCGTTGTGCCTTTTTTCTGCAACACTGCACTTTCGTAAAAATTTCCACGTGTTCACAACGGCAAGTCTCAACAATACACAGAGTCTTCAAAAAACTTCTTCGGCGAATGACGACGAACGAGTAGAAAACGTGTCTACAGCACGCTGGAAAACCGCAGCAAAGGCTAGCAAAAACGGCAAATCGTATCCCAAGCGAGTGAAGTCCGGTGGCTTCACTTGCGCTGCAGCGAACAAGCGGGGAAGCGCGATCCAGCAATTGTCATTGAGATTAGTGGTCTTGCCGCGCTTGCCGCCCTTGCCGCCCTGCAGGCTGCAAGTAGGGGTGTCGCGAACTTTTGTCGAACCAGATTTTTTGGTCGAACTTTCGGGGTTCGACTGAGTCGAACCGGTTCGACGAACCTTCGAACTTTTCACCAGATTCGACCGGTTCGACTTTGTGGACAGTGTGGCCAGCCCTTGATACAAGCATGTCTAGGTTTGGAGAATTTTTTTTTTTATGGAAAGGGTTATTTGATTTTGTGAACAACTGCAATTAAAAGAAACTAATTCTAATCACTGAAGAAGTTAATAACTTAATTTTTAGTACTGTATCAACTAAAATAGCCAATCAGTGCTGCACTTAATTAATCTCTTAGCCATTACCATCCAATCCGAAGCCAACTGGCCAGCCTGTCGCGCATGCGCACACGAGTCGAACCTCAATACAAAGTTCGTCGAACTTTCCACTAAAGGTTCGAAAAAGTCGAACCTGGTCGAACTCTAACCGCGGCCGGTTCGCGACACCCCTAGCTGCAAGTAGGGGTGTCGCGAACTTTTGTCGAACCAGATTTTTTGGTCGATCTTTCGTGGTTCGACTGGGTCGAACCGGTCGACGAACCTTCGAACTTTTCACCAGATTCGACCGGTTCGACTTTTGTGGACAGTGTGGCCAGACCTTGATACAAGCATGTCTAGGTTTGAAAAAACTTTTTTTAGGCAAAGGGTTATTTCATATATAAGAAACTACTTCTAATCAATGAAGAAGTTAATAACTTAATTTTTAGTACTGTATTAACTGAAATAGCCAATCAGCGCTGTACTTAATTCATCTCTTAGCCATTATCATCCAATCCGAAGCCACTGGCCTGCCTGCCGCGCATGCGCACACGAGTCGAACCTCAATAGAAAGTTCGTCGAACTTTCCACTAAAAGTACGAAAAAGTCGAACCTGGTCGAACTCAAACCGGGGCCGGTTCGCGACACCCCTACCTGCAAGTCCTGGATTGCGAGACGTAGTCACGTAGTCGACGTAGTCACGTAGTTGTAAACAGACACACGTGTTCTCATGAAGTTTCCTTACCACGTTGGCCTCCCCAGCCTCGTCCCTACTACGACAGAAGTGCAGGCTACCGATTTCGAAGTCCGAGCTCACGGGGCCGGGGCTTTTTGAGCACCGAAGATGTCGACGAATACACAGACAAGCGGCTCTGTGAGGAGCGGTGCTGGCGACGCATCCAAAGTACACGCGGACCGCAAATTTTACGATCTACCCGAAGCATACGCTTTCGGTTCCTTCAAGCAAAAGGCCGGGGACAGAAAAGGTGTGGGCGATGAGCAGCTCCTGAGGTACATTCACGACAGTGTCATCGGAAAAGATGCCAGCTTCGTAGGACCGTTCGGCCGGCAGAAAGGTAAGGTGCAACTGAGAACTTTCTTTACGTGTCGTCGACCGCTTGTGTCGTCGTATACCAAAGTGCGCAGTTATTGACAATACTAAGTCCGACAGGGTGTTCGAGTACTCGGATGGAACGTTGTTTGGGTACTTACGAATTGGAGTTTAATTTCACTTTCTGTCAGTGTTCAGAGTTTCGGCAATCCTTTGAATTCCAGAGCACACGATGAATGGAGAACAGACGCTGTTTCCTGAATTTGTGAACCAGTGTTCGGCTATGACGTCACACCGCTGCGGTAGCGCTGCTATCGGCACGGTGCATGCGCAGATGCTTCACCTCACGCCAACCTTGTCTCTGCGCATGTACGGTGGCCACACCCGGTGTAGACAAACTGCAAACTATGAGTTGGCGTATGCGAAGCGCAAGTTCGTCTCCTTCTTTTGCAGGCGTTCTGGTGACGTCAGAACGGCAAGCTCTGATTGGCTCTGATTGGAGGATAGTGGGTAGACTATGGGTAAACGTCAAAGCAAGCTGCTTTGAGGTCTACCCATATCTTTCAATCAAAGCCAATCAGAACTTGGCGTTCTGATGTCACCAGAACCTCTGCAAAGGAAGCAGACAAACTTCCGCTTCCCATAGGATTCCATTTGAAACATATCTTAGATAACTTTTTAAATCATTGCTTTGTGTCTGTGTGTGTGTGTGTTTCCTTCCTTTTTGGTCTCATTAAAGATTACATCTGATCATCACAAGTTTTTCTGTGTGTTATGTCCTGCCCCTTCAGTGATGTACTGTGATCACACGGCATCTGGAAGGTCGCTGACGTTCATCGAGGACTTCATTCGGGACGAGGTATTGCCGATGTACGGCAACATGCACACCACGACGTCCGTCACAGCACTGCAGACGACGTTGTTTCGGCATGAAGCCAGGTGATACTCTTCGTCATATTTTAGGTCAGGGGGCACCCCAATGGTTGTCTCTGCTGTCAATGAGAAATTTACCATTGTTAGCTTGGCGTCTTTAACGAACATCACGCAGTAGTGGTTGCATGACCGCATGCCAGTATGACGCTTATCCAGATCAAAATGAGCAGGAGTGGGTATTGAACCCAGGATTCCTTGGTGCGGTAGTGTGAGCTTTTGCTCCCCGTACGTGCTCTGAAATGCAGTGCATTAACACTCTTGGCCATCGATACCATTTCCGTCTTCAACAAACGCTACATGTCCGCCATAAATAACCAACAGCTGCAAATTCATTTAAAGATAAAAAGGTATGCGAAGCACAAGTGTGTCGATCTGCAGCTTGCGTAGGGTTTGCAATGACATCAGAACGTCGAGCTCTGATTGGCTCTGATTGAAAGGATAGTGGTTAGACCTCAATGCTAGATGCCTTGAGGTCTATTCACTATTTTTTTCAATCAGCCAATAAGAGCTCGACATTCTGACATCATCACAATCCCTGTGCAAGAAGCAGGCAAACTTGCGCCTGGCAAAAAAAGTGACATGTTTTATTTGTTGAAAAGGTATGTGACTTAGAAAACATTATAGTCGATGACAGGTTAAGAGTAAAGCGGAAGCTCCTCCCACCTCTTTCTGTATTAGCTGGAGAGGAGGTGACCTCCTCTCAAGTGTTTGCTCTGCTCGATTTGAAAAAGGTGCTCTTAACCTGTCACTGTCTATAGTGCAAATCATCTTGCACACATTTCAGTGCAGTACATAGTTTGGCTGTCATTTGTGCATTGCTCATAGTAAACCTGAACATCGGCCATAACTAAAGCTAAATGTGAGGAACCAGTGAGTGAAGTTTTTGCACTCCTGTCATGTACACTTTTACATCCCATTCCGTGCACTTTGCTCTCACATTCCTTGTTAGCACAGGATGGTGTTGTTTTGAGATGGACGCGAGACAGATGACTGTCATATCTTTTACAATTAATTCTTGTACCAGTTATTCATACACTTTTGTCCCCATACCCTTACAAGTTCGGATGATTAATGTTTCGGTGAGTTCAACCACATTAAGTGAGCTTTGGGCAGTTTTGATCCCACCCATACAATTGTCATTAAAAGTACACCAATGGTGATTTTAAACTGTTTTCTTTTTGATAATTGCGTTTTTGCTTTTTTGCTAGGTTTAGAAAGGTAGCTAGGGTATTTATTGAGAAGCCTTTAGTCTGTTTCTTGTTAGTAAAATAAGTACACAAAGCTCTACCAAACACAAGAGAAACAAAAATTTGCACATATTTCACCTGAACATTAGCAAAACTACCGCCATGACATAGGAGTTGAATGATTCTTCTGCAAAGTTCTTTGGCAGTGACAAGCATTAGGCATTCTCTGGCTTCAGCCTGACCGCACATGCATGCAAAGGTACTGCCAGAGTTGTAGGCTAATTTCTGTGCACCAGTTAGAATTGTGCCCAAGGTATCCCTTTTTCTCTCTTTGCAATTGAACCGTGTTGTTGTGGCAGTTCTTATCTGATTGCACTGTCGGGGTGCATTGCGCCGATGCTATTTTCGGTCCTGATTCATTGATTTCTGGTGCTGTGTCTCCCCCTCAAACACATAGCTTTGCGAATGCCCCCGCAGTAATATGGCATCTGCTGCTATTTGTCACTAAATATAAACCTGTCTTTTGAGTTACTGTTTGTCCAATAAGAGGGGATTGTATGAACGACTTAATCACCAGTGCAGCACAAACTAAACCAATACTCAATCACCAAAGTTTGCAGACGCCAGAAGAGAGTGAAATTGTACACTTTACTCCTAATTGAATGTAAGCTTTGAATTGGTGAGATGAAAAGTGATCTTGAGAACAGCCCTGGAAATGTTGTGCACCATGCAGGGACATTGTGCGAGCCAGCGTCAATGCCAGCGAGAGTGACTCCGTTGTTTTCGTGGGTACCGGCTGCACTGGTGCAGTCCATAAACTGATTGCTGCCCTTGCCCTTTCTGTACCTCCTGTAAGTTTTGCCGTTTGACTGCTGTCTAATCATTTTGAGGAATCATGCATGCCCAGTCATTTGTATACAGGGTGTTTCACGAAACTCTGGCCGAATTGCTTCTGCAAAAAGTGTGCATCGCACAAAGATGAGGTTGATGCCATATTGGTCTTTGCCAAACTGCCTACTTAGAAAAATTAATGACATTCAGATTAATTAAGTTCTTAATTACTTTTGAGTACTTCTCATTTTAATAAATTTATAGGTATGGTACACTTTAATGCAGAGCGCAAGTTCGTCTTCTTCTTTTGCAGGCGTTCTGGTGACGTCAGAATGCCAAGCTCTGCTTGGTTCTGAATAAAGGATGTGGGAGATCCTCCAGGCAGCTTGCCTTGAGGTCTACCCACTATCCTTGAAGCAGAGGACTTGCTGTCTGCATAAGTAAATTTCTGGGCATCATTGAAAACAACTTGGCTCGGTTTACAAAAATATAAGGCATGCATAACCTTTGACAACATTCTTATAAAAGAAAACACACAAAAACACACACACACACACGCACGCACGTGCGCACACACACGCGCACACACACACACACACACACACACACACACACACACACACACACACACACACACACACACACACACACACACACACACACACACACACACACACACACACACACACACACACACACACACACACACACACACACACACACACACACACACACACACACACACACACACACACACACACACACACACACACACACACACACACACACACACACACACACACACACACACACACACACACACACACACACACACACACACACACACACACACACACACACACACACACACACACACACACACACACACACACACACACACACACACACACACACACACACACACACACACACACACACACACACACACACACACACACACACACACACACACACACACACACACACACACACAAAATTTGGTGCATCATGAAGTTTCGCTTTTATATCAAAATGCAACTACACACCTGCAGTGATAATGCAATTAATGCAAAGGTGCAAGCGAGCTGGACAAGAATAACAATAATCCTGGAGAAGGGGAACATAAAATCGGAGCAGCACCTGCAGTCCTGCTCCGATTTTATGGATTTTTTTACCGATTTGATGTGCAAGATTTGATACACTAATGCAGAGTAGATAGTCCGCACGTGCCGTGCAATCCACTGTTCTCTACTATAGAGGGCTGGATGGCACATTGCTGATGTCTGAGCCTGGCACAAGTGAAGCCATCAAAAGTTTGATGCTTATCTCGGAAGTCGGTCATTGCTGGGCTTCCTAGTGCCTTCAGTCGACGTTTTGGTCTATGCTTTTTTGTATCTTTGAGTTGGTTTGAATAATCCTGTTTTGAATGAAATCCCAAAGATAAGGCATTTGAATGTGGGACATATGCACACTTGATCAACTAGAATCTCTAAAATTTTCACATCCAACGGCTTCCCAGGAGACTTCTCAGGTCTGCATATGCGCTGTTACTGTGCAACAAACAAGCTCTCTCGAGGTGACAAAAAAAAAAAAAATACAGCACCCTGACTGCGGGACAAGTCGCTTAGTTCCAGTGGCTTCATACCTGTTTGCTCAATGCGCTTTCCAGTTCCCTAGCGGAGATCGGTGGTGGAATCCAACTATTATTTTGTTGTCTCCAGAGTAGATAGTCCGCACGGACTATCTACTCTGGAGACTGCATGATCTCTGAGTACCGTTTGCTCACGGAGTGTGGGCACAAACTGTGCGTTTACATTCCCTTACAACTCCAGGTTGTTTTCGTGGACACGTTTACTCATCATTCTGTCCTACTTCCCTGGCGGGAAATCAAAGCCGAGGTGAGAGAACCTTATTTTCTTTTCTCATGAGCTTACCAGCCCAAACAATCCATTCGTGGTGCGAGTCAAGTTGAAGCCCTTCCCACCTGCCTCTCTCCTTGTTACGATTGCTGGTTTTCTCCTCTCTGGCGTTTGCTTGGTTAAAGTGAAAAGAGTGGAAGGCTTTGTGGGTGGAGCTTGTGCTGCTCTGAACCCGCCACAGACTACGACCGCCGCATTCATGAGCGCTCTTTTTTCCAGATTGTCAGGGTGTCTGAAACAGCAGACGGTGTTTTAGACATGTCTGTTCTGGAGGCCAAACTCAAGGTACGTATTAACGTTGTTGAGGGCGTAAGCTTTCACGTTCTTAACCCACGATAGAGGAGCCCGTCGGGATACCGCAGCCTATGCTATTTAGAGGCTAAATTCCTTTGAGCGTCTCATCTGAAAATGTATTACGCGAATATATTGCCGAGGAGCGGGATCCACATATGGATCTGTTCACCCCAGCCGTAACAGTTTCTTAGGGAATTTGCGAGCCAGAAAAAAGGCAGCTGCCTGCCTTCCGCTGCGCTTTGACTGCGTGCGCACGCTCAAACCTCACGACGTGCCACGTCTTATCGAAGGTAGTAAGAAGCTCGCACTAAAGGTGGGAGAACTGGAAGACCTACCTGCTCTTCTCGTCCCCACCGTGACTCTATGGTCGCCGTGTTTTTCCTTCCCGCGAGTCCTTTCTTTCATGCGACTACTTCACTATTGTTCTGGCTTCAGGAGTATGCGGGGGAGAGGTCAAGGCAGCTGATTGGCTGCTTCACGGCTGCGTCAAACATCACGGGAATTTTGATGGACGACGTTGCGGTGACGGCTTTGCTTCATCGCTACGGTGCCCTCGCGTTTTGGGACTACGCTTCTGCGGCGCCTTATGTTCAAGTGGACATGAACCCAGTGGTACCTAGGCAAGTCTCGACGTGCTTGGAACGCTTGCTTTACGACAGTGCCGGAGTTATTTATTTATTCAAAACGTTTCTTTTGCGCATCCTGTGGCATGAACTACTGGTCGAGAGAAGTGTTTATCGCAATGTCCCGAGATATAGCCTACCTAAAATCGAGAGAAAATCTGGTGAAAATAACAAGTGGGCTAATTTTCTGTGTACAACCAAGAAAAGTAAAAAAAACACTATTTCTAGATCATTGTTTCCTGCCAAACTTGTTATTGTAGCGAGGGACAATAAAGCAAATATGGCTGTACTTCCCAGTCAGCAATGTTCGCTTGTATCCCGCCATAGCTACCTAGCCGCATTTACGCCGAGGTAATCATTGATCCGAACTCTACAATGTTAGGGGTGGGCTATCTTTCGGTATTTAAAAGAAAATAGCAAATTAAGCTAAAAATAGTGGTGAGTTATCTTTCGGGTTATTACGGTAGTAGTTTTTGTAGTATTCCTTAGACTTTCTTTTGCTTCCTTTTCATATTTTCATGTGCCGGACGTCACCACCCGATATCGATCAGAACACTTGGACGTCTGCCTGGTCATTTTATTAAATTCTTTCGTAAAGGAACGACTGAAATATTTTTTGAAACTGCAGGCCGAGTTAAACCTCAATGAATTAAAGCTTCTAATCATTTCTGTGAATCAGCTTTTACGGTGCCTGGGCTTGCTCAACTCGCTACCAAAGTGTTTACATTTGGTTTGTTTTGCACGTGCCATTGTTGTCCCAAAACATTTTTGCAGCGTTGAACAGGGACTGGCATATAAGGATGCCATCTTCATATCTCCTCACAAGTTTGTGGGCGGACCAGACACGCCGGGTAAATGACTGGCCCTTGGTTGACTCATTTCTTGAGTGCGTATGCAACAGAAATTATGCAAAAAGTTCTTAATTTTTTTTTTTTGCTTATAGGGATCTTGGTTGCCAAGAAAAAGCTCTTTGTGAATGCCGTGCCCTCCGGCTGTGGCGGCGGATCTGTGTTTTTTGTGAGTTTGCGCCTTCGAAGCGTTTTTATTCGACAGGATCCTGTCCCCAATATTTGAGCGCACGGCATCTTCGTCTTACTTCATTCGGGTGAACGACACCTTCGTCGTTGTTCATTCGGGTGTATGACACCTTTGTCATCGATGATCGGAGAGCCGTGGAGAGCGTTCACAGTTTTTTGGCGGACACTTCCTGCACAGATGGTTTGCCTGTCCGCGCATGCACGTCCTTAAGCGCCAAGGAAAAGAGCAGGTGGAGAGGCCGAGCAAAGTCTGTAGAGGCCGCGGGCAATCAATGTTTTCGGCCCCTCCTCGCAACCCGTTTTGCAAGCACAACCCGTAAACCACGCGACCCTGACCGAGCAGCCGGAAACGCTCTCGAATTCAAGCACACCGACGTTCTTTCGTCGTGAGCGGCGACAAACGGTTGCAACGCGCTCGTTCGAATCGTGCTGCCAGGAAAACGTCTACATCTGTCGCGCTTCCCATTTTTTTCTACCCGTGTATCGAAAGCAGTTACAAAGTGGCAGCGAACGACATCGCAAAGGCTGGAGCGACACGCAGTCAGACGTTGCGATCCTGGTAGTGGGTCGTAGAAGTTCCTGCAGAAAGCACGACAGAACGCAAGCATCTCCGTCGTCGCTACTAACTGCCGAAGCTTTTGGGGACCGTTGGGTGGGAGAGCGACCTGTGGCAGAACAGGCGTCTGCTGTATCCACCTTTGCTGTTGTAATACTGCCAGGACCGCGGCAGGCAACGCCACTTTTCATTTCATTTTCATTTCATTTTGTTACCCTAAAGGGATGCTGACAGGGTACTCATGCTGCCAAGGTTTTTATTTGTACACGAGATATGAGAACCCAACTAGCCAGAGCACAATTTGCGGGTCGAAATTTGTTTTCTTTCTGCCCAAAAACCGCCAATTGAGAACTGGCCGGTTTCACTCACGCTCACTCTCTTTTCCGTGTTCACGTGCCGCTCGAAACACACACCAAATATAATCAAAGTCGTGGGTCATCAGAAGAACACAATCAATTAAAAAAAAAAAAAAATATATATATATATATATATATGTATATATTTATAATGCCCATTTTTTGTGGCTTCTGAAAAGCTGCAAATATGTTTATTGGAAAAAAAAGTTGTTCAGCCACATGTCTTTCAGCAACTCTCATCATCATTAACATTATTATTATTATTATTATGATTACTTGACGATGCTTCAATAAACAGGCCAGTGTCTGCCGGGCGCAGGTGTCCAGGACGAGCCACCGCTACCTAAGGGAAGTGGAGGCGAGGGAGGAAGGTGGGACGCCATCCATTGTTGGGGCCATCCGCTGCGGCCTGGCTTTCCAGCTCAAGGATGCCATCGACCCCGATTTTCTCTCGTCTCGCGAGGAGCAGCTCTGCAGGTGACATTCTTACAAAGGCTGTGCAGAAGGGTAAACGGGCGTGCGTTTCACGATTGATCGTCGCGACGTTTAGCCAGCATGAAGGTGAATGGTGGTCTCTTGTTCTCGATTCCTCAAATTTTTGTAGTCTGTTGCGGTCTAAGGAAAGTAAGACGAGCCCCTCCCACGAAGCTCGCTGTTGGTCATGATTGGTTGTTTCCTCCCCTTCGTTTTCCTCCTCTCCAGAGGTCACTTACTAAAGTTTAAAGAAGGGCTTTGTGGAGATAGCTTGTCCTGCTTTTCTTGACCTGCAACGGAGGTACTTTGGCAATTGTCTCGCATAAGTGACTTGCTTAGCTATGTTTAAGTTGCAAATAAAGATGGCGCAGAATAAGAATGGATAGAAATTTTGGTGCTTGAGGGTGCCCCTCTTGTTAGGGCCATTCGCATCACCGTCGTCCTATAAAATTCTGTAAAACCCTTAATGTTTGCAAGCCCTTAATTTTTGCGAATTTAAAAATTTGTGAAATTTGGGGGCATGCAAAAATTTCGGTCCTTGAGAGTTTCAATGCAGGCGTCTGGAGTTCGCCAAATTTAGTGGCTGCAATTATGTCCTCTGTGACCGATTTGCGAAAAACGGGCCCCAAAAATAAAGGGTTTTACATTATGCTTTTCCTAAATTGATTTTAGAATGTTACCTAGCTAGTCATAAAAATAGAAGAGCCACATTTATAAACCCACTATGGTTGACGTGCTGGATCCTGAAGTAACGTGGGTTAGGCAACGAAAAATAAAGTAAGTTTCCACTGAATGGCTGTAAAGAAGTAGAACAATCTATTGGTAGAAAGCTTCTGAATTCTAGCGCTTTTTATCCAACAGATAGAGCAATTTGGTATTTTTTTTCAACCCCGCCACGTCTGAATGCTGCGTCAGGAGAAAATGCTCTACAAGGCACAAAATTAAAATAAAATTTTGTTTACATGTGCCAGCTTTTTAGAAGCATGTAGGCAGTGCCTGAGTCATTCTCTCTCTTCATTTTTTTTTCTTCTCGAAGCAAATTATTTGGGGTGAGCAGCCTAACTCTCCATATTGTATATGCTTGTATTTTCTTCTTGGCAATGTGTGAAACGTGTTGAAATATTTTTGTTAGTCTTGTTTGCTGGTCTTTTCAATCTGGGTGATAGCATGTGCTCTGGGATGCTGCATGCTATTTATATCAGCCAATGTTTGTTTGTTGTGTGTGTCTGTTTTATTTTAAGGCTACTGTTTTATTCCTTGATTTATAGGATCCAAAAAGAAAAATAAAAACACCGTGATGACCCTAGGACAATATTTAGAAATAAATAAAAAAATAGATTATTTCATGGAATGGTATTGTGGTGTCCCTCGTGCTGGGTGCAGGAGGATGATGGACGCATGGCACGACCTCCCAGACCTGGTGGTGCTTGGAAACAGAAAAGCGAAGCGTCTCCCAATCGTTTCCTTTGTCATCCGCCATCCGGCATCGGGACTTTTCCTCCACCACAACTTCGTCTGCGCTCTCCTCAACGACCTGTACGGCATCCAGGCCCGCGGAGGCTGCGCTTGCGCAGGTCCTTACGCGCAGGACCTACTCGGCATCGACGAAGATTTGGCCCTTCGCTACGAGAAACTCCTCGCAGAAAATAGGTCTGTCGGTTTTAGAGTTGTGCATTCAGGGAGTGGTGTGGTTTGCGCTGCCGAAAACAGAAGGTATGGATTTTAAGGCTGGTTTGCGTATTTGCTTTTCAGTCTGAACAAGCGCGTTGCTGTGCGGAGTGCAAGTCCGTTTGCTACTTTTGCAGGGGTTGTGGTGACGTCAGAATGCCGATCTCTGATTGGTTCTAATTGAAGGATAGCGGGCAGACTTCGAGGCAGCTTGCTTTGATGTCTACCCGCCATTCTTCGATTAAAGCCAATCAGAAATTGGCGTTCTGATGTCACTGCAGCCCTTGCAAAAAGCAGACGAACTTGCCCACCGCATTGCTTACGACTGCTCGCGACGAGAGGACACGCTGGCGCAACCTTTCGGGAAGTCCTGCAACATTTACAATCTGCGTATAACCACATTGAAAGCTCTGCGATATCTGCAAGATCATATCTATGCACTGCGTATGACAGACGGTCGCTTATAACAATGTCAAAATTATTTCGACCCACAATGAAAGAACAATGCATAAAAAATTACGAAATGTATATGCCTGGTAGTGTTCAGGGGTTACCTGACAGATGGCATCAGTGCAACATTCCCTAGTAGCACACTTCACCCTGTGGAGGTCTTTAGGATGTCCTAACATCCCAGGGATGTGCTGTGGACGTTCACAAGACATTTGTGCTGCTTGGGTTTTCTTGTCATAAGCGGTCGCGAGCGAGCACGGCGCACTTGGTCACTGTCAAAAGCAAATATCTGAACCCGCCTTCGGAAACCCTGACGAAAGACTAACCCAATTGCGTTCCCAGCATCTCGATGGGCACCTTTTGATTTCGCCGTTGCTTACGGACGACCCCTCTGCGCCGTCACCTTGCTGCTGACGCATATAGATAGTTCTATGGTTGAGCCCCGCTAAGGCATACCCGCGGTTACCAGAGTGGCATCCGAGCAAAGCATTTTGCGTCTGTGGAAGCCAGACTATATCTTTTGAAGCATGGCCACTCGCAGACGTCTATCGCATTGCAGTAAAATGTGGCCGCAGCATTCGACGTTGAAATCACGGTATCCGGAACGCATCCCTGATCGGCGCGTTGGGCGTCTTGTCCCGCCCGCGCGTCGAAAGCGGTCCCAAAGTGGCAACAGATGACGTCACAAAAGCCGGAGTGTTATGCTGCCGGATGTCATGATCCTAGCAGTTGACCGTACAAGTTCTAGAAAATAAAAAACAAAAAGCACGAGAGAATGTGAGCGTTGTCGTCGCCGCAGCGTTCTAACTCCCCGCTGTTGAAGCTTCATTGGAGAGCGACCTGCAGCAGGACTCACATAGTACACACTTTAATTGGAGACGCATTCTAGACAGCTTAGTGAAATGTCCACGACATTTCGCCATTGTGTTGACCGGTTTGATGAAAGCACGCTTTTGTTGGGTCTTTGTTGCGTCGTTGCACAGGATGCTGGATCGCACGCTCCTTAGGCGATACACCGAGCATTCGGAACGTGAAGTGCTTCGTCCTGGATTCGTCCGGCTCAACCTCTCCTTCTACCTTCCGGACGCGGACGTGGACTTTGTGCTCGAAGCGGTCCGCCAGGTTGCCAGGGACGGCTGGACTCTCCTGCCCCAGTACGTCTTCAATCCGGAGACCGGAGAGTGGAAGCACTCGAGGCACCAGGTTAGGAATGCTGGCGTTCATATTGCTAAGCCGTCCGACGTCCAGGGTGTCCCTCAAAAATAGACTATGCATCGCCGAATGCTCAGTCTTGGCCCAAATGTAGTGCTTATGGTTCAAACCAGACACAAAAGTTTTGGAGCTAACTGTTAACGTATCTTATTCAAGAGTTATAAGCAATTTTAGGAAATTTTAAATTGGAAGTTGGTGGCCTACAAACCCCCGAATACACGAGGATGAATGACGTCAACTACTACTAGGAACGGGCACCATTTTCCCTTTGAAATTTTCAAAAAGCACTTGTAACTTTTGAGTAACATAACTGTTAGTTCTGAAAACTAGGCATCCAGTTTGTAGCGCTTGTACCAAGTTTGGGCAGAGGCTGAGCATCTGGCGATGCATATTTTATTTGTGCGGTAAAAAGACACCGTGAATTTTTCTCGGGGATGTACCGTAGGTTTTCGGAAGAATCTACCAGTATTTTGCGGTTGGTGTTTTAATATTTTACCAGTGAAAGGTGTGAATTTTGTAAACACGATTGGAAATCATCAGCTGAAAATGTGCTAGATTGTAGACCAGGGATTCTCAAACGTTTTGTTGGTGTTAGGGAAGGCGTGTCTCCCTCGAAAAGGCCCTCCTGGTTTCAGCATTGATGTAGTTTGGCAGTGCAGAAGCCTACAGGTTCTGTAAACAATAATGCACATACTAGGGAGTACCCAGCACATAGTCGTTCATTAGTGGACGATTGTCATCTCCTAAAGTAGTGCTTAATCCCTAGAACAGATTATGTGGGGGCAAGGATGGCTAAGGAAATTTGGGTGGCTCAGGGAACCCAGGTAGATGCTCTGGGATACCCAGTTTGAGAGTCCATGTTGAAAACATTTCGTAATAATGCCCTTTACCACATTGCTGTGTATTAACCAGATTTTTCATTCGCCATTACTGGGAGGATTACATCCCCAGTTAGTTAATATTTCCAATTTTTTTCTAATACCAGGGAAACTATTCTCTTCTTTTCTTGTTAACAGGTCTTCAAGGAAAGAAAATGGCTCGGCTCCATTTCATACAGAACCGGGAAGTTCTCCTATCATGGCAGTGAAGACGAAGACAACTTCTCTGCGTGTGCAAAGAATCCGAAAGTGCGTCAATCAGCCCATCTAAGCTTGGAAGCCTTTCGGAGTAACATTTATCTCGCCCCAGACTTCGTCCTGAGTCCTTCTGTCAATTTTTTCTTCCTTTATTGTTTTGCTTGTTTTTCTATCTTTCAGGAGGTCCTTCAAAAAGCTGAGCAGGTGTACGCCAATGCTGCAAAGGCAAGTAGCCGGTGTTGATCTCTTCGCACTTTATTTAATGTAGTGGCGAGCATCAAATAAATTTTCCCATCTCTGGACCATATCTGATGAACTCGGATGCATGCCGAAAGTGTTGCGAATGAGCTGGGCACATGCTGGGAGATCCGCGTCTGTGTGTGACGTCACGGTGTTGCGCGACATTACAATGTTGTGCGACTCCTTGAACTTGACGTCACGTGACATTACAGTAAAAGCTGGTTAATTCAAACCGCAAGGGGAAGCCACCTCAGTTCAGATTAACGAACGTTCGAGCAAACGAAAGTGAAGTAACGGCCTTTGCTTCTCCCGACACAGCACGGAAAACAAAGTCTTAACGCTCGCGGAATCGGTGCAGCCACCCATCTGAAGCAGCAAAGTTGTCGTAACCCAGCTGCTCTGCTGCTGGGCGAAGTCCGCTGCCTCGCCAGTATTACAGGGCTGCTCAGTGGAATACCCTGTGCACGCACGTCCTTAATCCAAAGCAAAAGCGCTTTCTCGAGGTCGAGATACTTTCGTTGGCAACTTCTGCCGCCAAGGTGTCTCCAATAGCTCTCTTATTCTTTATGTAAGTAGATAGCGTGTTTTCGGTATTGCATGCTTCTTCGCGATTTCTCGCTTAGACAAGAGTCCGGCGTCCACTTCTTGCAGGATGTCGCTCTTCTCTTGCAGTGTTTTGGCACAGTATTTGCCGCGTGCACACGCTATCTTCAAGTCGCATCTCTGAGTCCGGCGCCACACCACCGATGTCTGCCGAAACTAACTTTAGCCGAGGGTTAACAACACCACAAAGAACCGCGAGCGACGGCCGGTACCACCAAAGCTGAAAACAAACGAGCACACTCGACGGAAACTGCCGAGACAGATGTGTGTGTGTGTGTGTGTGTGTACGCGTGCGTGCACGTGTGCGTGCGTGCATGTGTATGTGCGCATGCATGCGTGCAGGCGTTCTAGAAGAGGGGGGAAGGGGAGGAGAGGGTCAATTTTGTATGCACACCAGGCACAGCTGCACGACAAGATTTTCAAAGCCTATGAGATCGGCGCAGGCAAGGGGTCTCAAAGGTCACGTGCACGTAGAACGGAGAGGAGGCAGCCACCGCTGCCTTCTGGCTGCCTCCGTGCCGGTTAGATTTTTCCCAATTTCGCCTTCTCTCGCCATTCTCTCCGTTTTGGAGCCGACGGGTGCGTTTCTCTGGCCGTGTGCCAGGTGCGAAGCCGCCGGCGCGGTGGCACGTAGTTCGAATTATCCGTGGCGGAACCTACTCACATTCTGAATTAACGGGCTTTTTTGTACATAGACTTCTATGGAGCTTGGCCGGACCAACCAAGTTGTACAGTTCAAATTATTTTATAAATTCAAATTTTTTGAAGTTCGAATTAACAAGCTTTCACTGTACGGTGTCATGGGACATTACGGTGTCTTGGGACGCTGTGATGTAATGGTGTCATGCGAAATAAGGGTATCATGCAATGCCCTATCATGTGGCATAGTAATGTGACGTGACATCCTAATGTCATGTGATGTCACAGTGTCTTATGACGTCAGGGTGTAACGTGACATCATAATGTGACACGACGTCATGAGGTCATTTGATGTTGATGGTGTCGTGTAACGTCATGACTTTTCAGCAATATTTAGCAGGAAATATAGATGCCCCTATGGGGCTGTATAGCTTAGAAGACCCTGACCTGTGTGTCAGTTGAGCATAATGTGTCACTTATCTTGAAAACCCAGCCCCACAACACATTCCGCGTTAATCAACTCGTATGTGCACGTTGCAGGTGGCGAACAGGGCATCGCTTGCCGACCAAGCTGTCATGTTCGACGATGACTCCGCAAAACTTCGGTGGTTCCTTCTTCCGAGTGAAGCGCAGCAGTTGCTCCAGGGGGACACGGTTGCCTTCCAGGAGTCTCCATTTGCTCCTCCTGTTCTACGAGCAGAATCATGTAGAACGAAAGTTGAGCCCTCGGACGATCCGGCGCAGTGCGAAACGCTGCCCAATGAGATTGCCGCTTTGCCAGGGAACAGCAGCGAGAGTAAATCCGAAGATGTGACACGTTTCCTCTGGCACTCCCCTCCCAAGCAGATCTTCAAGCCGTTTCTAAAAGTGAGTCGTGTGACGTCTTGGATACAATTTTGACTTCTGGAACGCTCAGAAATCTGTCCGGTTGTGGAGAAAGCAATTAGAAAGAACGTCCAACCAAAGCCAAATTAGGCATTCAACGTTTCCAGGCCTAGTCGGCTTCGTTTTCAGGGGTGACCCAAACCGTTGCCATAGCCGCCCATGAAGAAGAGGTTAAGGAGTCCTCAAAACGTTGGGTATCCAGTTGGGGCGTAGTTGGACGTCCTTTCTAGAGAATTTCATCATTTTTGTGTTGAAGGTCTAGAGTTGAGACGAAATGACCGTGGGTAGGGAAATGTCGCACTGAAAGGAAAGTTGGGAAAGGAAGGGAATCAAGGGCGCACGAGTCCCAGCCTAACGGAAGCCAGTTTGATGCTTAAGGGGCCCTGCAAGTACTTTTTAGAGCGCAGCTCTTAGGGGCCCGTTTCCAGCCTGAGCGGCGTCGCCGTCAGCGTAACCGGGGGGGGGGGAGGAAGTCACGTGACCCCCCCCCCCCCCCCCCCCCCGAGATCACGTGCCCCCCCGCGAAGTCACGTGATCCCCCGAGGTCACGTGACCCCCCCCTCCCCCCCAGATCACGTGACCCCCCCGGGGTCACGTGACTACCCGCAGGTGACGTGACTAGGGATGTCGCGAACCAGCCTAGGTTCGATTTCGAAAGGTTTCAATATTTGCGAAGCGAACTGAGGTTCGATTTTGAAAAATTTCGATATTTTCGTACCGACCGAGGTTCGATTTAGAAAAATTCGCAACTTTTGACCACAGCGGTGTTTCGAATTCGAAAATTTGGAAGCTTTCACGGTTTCTAAAATTTCGAATTCGAATATTTCGAATATTTTTTTACTTCAGGTTCGATAAATTCGAAGATTTCAAAATTCTTTGTAAAAAAAAATTCGAAAACTTTGAACGCTTCGAATTTTTATAGACATGAAGTTCGAACAATTCAAAGATTTTGAATTTCTTTTTGCATAAAGTTCGAAAAGTTCGAAGGTTTCGATTCTCTTTTAACGTTAAATTAAAAAAAAAGAAACTTCGAAGATTTTGAATTTCTCTCTCTTCCAAGTTTTCAAAGTTCGAAGTCCGATTTTCAAGTTCCTCCACAGTTTCAGTTTCAAATAACGTTTTCACGACTCACTGGTTTTCACAAAATCAAGTTTAGAAAAGTTAGGGTGTGATATCTAGATTCTGCGAAGTTGGTCAGGCAATTAAATGAGGCGACGAGTGTCCCGGACGTGCTAGAATATTTGCCAGTGCAGAATAGTGACCGCCAGCCCCGGGGGGGGGGGGGTTTAACCTGCATCACGCAGTAGTGATCACACAAACACACTGTTTTACGAGACTCATCCAGTTCGAAACGGCCAGGGGCGAGCAGGAGGTCGAGGCTCAGAAAAACCTTGATGCGACCTGGCAAACTAGCTCGCCACCCCTTGCACGCTGGTAGTAATCCGATCCGGTGAAGTTTATAATTGTCCTGGAGGTTTATTTTCTGGGACGGAGGAATCGCCTCGCAAAAAGCACAAAAGCCGACACAACTCGAGGTCGAGGAGCGTTCTACCATACAAGTGGCGTCGAAAGAGGAAAAACGGGGGAAAGAGGGTAGCGAAGGGGGAGGGGGGGGTGCTTCAGCCTCCTTCTTCCCCTTGCAGGTATTTCGGACTGTTAAAAAAAACAATACGGGGAAAGAGGGCGTGGTCGAGCTTATTTTAATCTGAAATTATTTATGCATATGTATAGCTACTGTCGCTCTTCACTGCATAAAAGTTGCGTAGATGGTCATTGTTAGAAACTCGTTGTCAGAAGGCACTGCTCGTCACATGCTTAGTGGTTCGGAAGTTCAAAGCTGTCTTTTCGACCTAAACACCTGTGCCAATAGTAACAAAAAAAAAAAAATAATAAATGCGGGAATAAAAAGCAGGAAAAAAAAGAAAAAAAGAAAACTACCAAGAATTCGTCGGAAGTGTTCTATTCTTGCATATTCAGAGGTTCAGAACTTCGAAACAAGTTTCTTTTACCAAAATGTGTACAGGCTAAAAGAAACACGTCCCAGGAACGTGAAGCGAAAAAAAAGAAAGTTTTCTTTTAATGACGTGCTGAACTTGAACACTATTAGAAATCTTCTCCCATGAGTTAATTTATTCCTTAACGTGAAAAAACAATGAATACATTGTTTTGCATTCTGCAGATGGCAATGATATGTACTGTCTGTGGTGTTAATTTAAATGCGGTACCTCAAACAACTTAGACGAAAATAAATATCAAGTTTAGGTCATAATTGCATGCAGATACATGTTTGGACATTTCTTCGAAACTCACGTTGAATAACAATAATCACATCTTAAGACGGCACTTACCTAGGCTATACATAGATCATTCTTAAAAAAGTATAACATATCTACCATAAATAGCTCCGGCTGCAGCGTGCTTCAAATCTGGCACAAACGATAATCGTCAAAAACCCGTCGTCCTTCCTCGCCCCTTCGGGGATTTATTTCTTTAAACCTAAGCATAAAAGAACATTGAAATAAACGACATTGTCTTTTGTAAGGAACGCAGCACCGCGTGTAAAAGTTCGAGAAAAAAAAAAATTATGAATGTACACCACTACTTGAAATCAAATGAAACCGTCTCCCGGTCTTTCGAAGTTCGACGAACGTCGAACTTTTACCCTAAAAGTTTGAAGTTCGTCGAACTTCTGACTTTTCAGAATTCGAAAGTTCGAAACTTTTCGAATTCTCTTGATAAATAAGTTCGAAAGTTCGAAATTCATCGAATTTTTTGGTCAGTCAAGTTCGAAAGTTCGAAAAAGATCAAATTTTTTAGCGTAATAAGTTTGACAGTTCGAAAAGCGTCGAACTTCTTAGCTTAACAAGTTCGAAAATTTGACCTCCGTCGAATTTTACGATATAGAAAATTCAAAAAATCGAAATCTTTCGAACCTTTCGAACCGCTTGATTCGATCATTGAAACTTCGATTCGAAAAAAGTTCGCGGCATCCCTAGACGTGACCCCCCTCAGTACCCTTCCCTACTCCTCCTCAAGAGCTGCGCTCCAATTCGAAGTTACAGGGATTTGTAAACGGCTTTCATTTTTACTGGTTTTTAATTTGCACCGAACCTGAGCGCACTGACCGTAGTAACCTAATGAAACTTTTCTTTTCTCGAATTTCGCTTTATTTTAAAAGTTATAGGCAAATTAAAATGATAAAAACAAGCAAAAAATAACCTCCCTCATGATGTCCTTGGTTGCTTGAGTGGCCGTGAACTAGAGGAGGGATGAGGGATAATGAGCTCAGCGAGCGCCCACAACTGCCGCACTCCGTGTCAACGGCGCGAGAGTGCGCCACTATAGCATGTTCTGGATAGGCTGTATACAGCGGGCAGCCAAGGGGCTCTCATTGCGTTTGCTGCGCGATTAAACACTAATTCGGCATGACACTTCATTGGCCACAAACGACTGCAAACACGGGGTAAAGGTCAGTTCAGAATGGGAGCCACTTTGCGCTGCCGTACCGCGAAACGGCCAAAACACAAGACAAAGCTGCTCGCTGAAGGCCTTCGGAACGCTCGGAGCCGGTCGGATCCTCCAGTCCGTAAAGGACCGCAGCGCCACCGCGTACATTCGGGACCTCTCCGTGTCGGCGCCTGATCCCATTACTCCTTTCTAGTATGTGCTGCCTTTTCCATTGCTTGGTGGCGGGTATATTGACGGGTCATTTCTTGTTTCTGTACTTTATAAGCTGCATTTGTTTCTTTTCTGATCTAAAAAACTAACCAAAAACTACTTTTATAAATAATTGAAACGGTTCGTGCCACTTATATTTTGTATTTCGACTAAAAAGAACCTTTTAGCGACTGTGACCAGTAGGAAGCCCAGGACCAAAGACGTCACATTTCGCACGTTTTCGGTACCGCGGGTCGCCCCCGTCTGTGGAAGAGGTTTCCGCGTCGTCCAGTTAAAATATGGTGCACTGATATTTAGTCACTCTCTCTGTGCCCGCTGGCTTGCCCAAACCCCAAGAGACGTGGAAACCGCAAAAAAGGTAGATGCTTAAATATGATTGCAGGGCCCCTTTAAGGTGTCACTTGCAGAAGCTTTTAAAAATCTGCGGTGCACAACTCGAGCTTCCGCTGAACACGTGAGCCGCAAGTTGTGCTCGTCTCGCAGTAGGGTGTTTATATGTTCTTCTTTTTGGAAAGGCAGTGACCGAGTTCAGCATGTTCGCCAACGGAGACCGGGTGCTTGTGTGCCTGTCCGGCGGAAAGGACTCCCTTTCCCTACTGCACACCCTCCGGCAATTCCAGTTCTACTTTCGGAGAAAGGTGCGGAGCTCAAACCACCTTCTTTGCACGGTCAAGGCTAGTGAAATCAATTAATCGTGACAGATGGGCTTGCTATGTCGTTTCGGCGTGTAATATTCTTCCTGGAGTACGAGCTCAGCTTAAAAGGCTTCTGTTCCAAGTCCAAGTTTTAGCATTCACTCAGCAACCTGGACGGAACCTTAACTTAAAATTTTCAGCAAATTAAAACTGTGTGCAAGATGTCCCTCGAGTCTCGGGACATCTTATTGTGGTCGGTTGCTGGACCTTGAGTTTATTACTGCTGTAGCTGGACCTTTAATGAAATCACTATCTCAACCTATCAAATTCAAGGGATCTCATGCAGCCATGCCAACGGGTTACATGAACACGCTGACAACATTTCTTCGAGTATGGAGAAGTTGCAGGACTCCTTAGGTTTCTAACAACATGAAGATGTGTAAGAAATGGTGCTAGAGTAACAATAGCAAAGGCCCCGTCCGCTAGGGTAACTGGCGAAGGCCACATCTACCAGGGTAACTCACAAAGGTTATATCTATTAGGATAACTAGGGAAAGCCACAGTGCTGCTAGGGTAACTGGCAGAGACCATATCTGCTTGCTTCTTCGTTGTGTAGGGAAAAAAGTTTGACCTGGGTGCAGTCACAGTGGATCCAGGCAGTCCTCTGTACGACCCCAGGCCTCTGAAAAAGTACCTGGCGGCCCTTGGAGTTCCCTACTTCTACGAGGAACAGTGTGAGCACTGTATTTTTATATGTTTTGTAACTGTTATCGCCAGTGGAGTGACGTATAGACGTCATTGCATGTACATTAAACTTGTAGGGTGACCCTTTGGCATAGCAGCGTATGCAGTAAAGATTTTATTCCACAAGAACATTCAGTCACACCAGCAGTGAAAACACTGAACGATATTGTGGGAAGGCTTGTAAGCAACCTGTAAGCTTGCAGAGAAAGCCGCAAGGTTGTGGGACACTCGGCAACATTTTTTGACAATTTACACAAGGCTAGTATTGGTGGGGTAGCCCATTCCAGCTTTGATGCCATCGTTTATAGCTCAAAGAAAATTTTGCTTCGCCAAATTAGTTGCACAAGTTTGCTTGAGTGGTCCTGAGATAAATGCTTGCTAGAAAAATAAATTATTGCGCAGACTGAGCTGTAAAAGAGGCGGGAAAGATATATGCCGAAGCCGTAAGCACTACGCTCCTGGGCAGTATGGGCAACGAGCATTCTATGTGGATTCCAGGCACGTTGGCACCCGCCAGTGCCAAATGTCTTCTAAAGATTTATTCTTGCAACTGTTAATTGGTCTGGCGAGCACATAGCCCAACTGCGCTGTCCGCCTAATGGGGAGCGAAGTGTGGTCGTGGTATAACTGAAGTGTTCCGACGTGTTCCAGGCATTCTGGACCAAGCGTCAGCCTTGCCCGAGTGCACTTCCATCTGCAGCTTCTGCAGCCGCATGAAACGGGGCCGCATCTACGCCTGCGCGCGCCGAGAGGGCTACAATGTTCTTGCCTTGGGGCAACACTTGGACGACCTTGCCGAGAGGTTAGTCCCCCTACGCCTACACCTCTGAATCCGTTCTAGAAAAGATCTTGCGTTTTACAGGCTGCTTTCTTTTTTTAGTGGGTCAAAATTTTTTATTAAAAAAGCAGTGAAAGCTAGGTAATCCTGTCTCTGAAGGTGTGTTTATTTATTTCCAAAACTCCGTTGCATTTTGTCGAACTGCTTCGTGCAGACGCTTAAAGCAACTTCTATCGACGGAAAACATCGCAAATAGGAACGAACAATCAAGATGAAAAACGGTTAAACTTTTATTTACATCTGATACACAATCCCTCGCACTTTATTATTTTAATATGTACACGTTTGCAAGTATATAGCCTCAGGGCCCTGCTACCTTGCTCGGAGCAAGGCGTCGTAATCGGATCAGGACGCGCCAAAGTGCACCCCAACTGAGCAAGATGGAAACGGCCTGAGGCCGTACTTGCAAACGTGTATACTTCGTTTCAGCTGAAGTCCAGACACACTTCGTCCAAAACAATGTGAGAGCAAGTTCGTCTGCTTCTTTCACGGGGGTTGCGATGATGTCAGAACACCAAGCTCTTATTTGCTGATTGAAAAAAAAAAATGGAGGGTAGATCTCGAGGCATCTAGCATTGAGATCTACCCACTATCCTTTCAGTCAAAGCCAATTGGAGCTCGGCGTTGTTTTGGATGTCACCGCAGCTCCTGTGCAAGAAGCAGACGACTTGCTCTCCACATAGGAAAACCACTTCAAGCCACACTATGTTCGCAAAGAATGAGGGCACCCTCCAGCGGGGCAATCTACAAAAGGGCACAATGAGGCCAAGCTTTTGGGGACATAAACCGAGGGTCAAATTAACCAGCACTGAGAGAAAAACACGTCTCAATTACTAAGAGATCTTAAAAGACCTATGCTGACAATCAACCTAAAACATCAACGGAAAAAAAAAAAAGAATAAGTGACAAACGTCTACATAAAACTTTTTCAGTGAAAAAAAAAAAGAAAAAAAGCTGCCGCTTGAACGAAAATGTTTAAAAACCCATAGTTTTCGGCAGGACATACTACAGGGGGATAGTTGTCATAGTAAGTCGGACAATTCACTAAAATTTGTTAATGAATGTTTTAATGAGTGAAAAATAATGTATGGTTCCAGTTGGAAACTTGCTCAGTGTCATCAAAAATCAGTAAATGTTTGAAAGATGGGAAGTAGGTGAGAATTACATGTGTGCACTAATGTTAACAACGCATGGAGCAGGTGGAAGGCCAGCATTGCCTTCTGTCTATAATTTACTGATTCAGTAGCTTTTGATGACACTGAGCAAGTTTCTGATTGGAACCATATTCATATATTTTCACTAAATTAAAAAGTTTATCAACAAATTTTACTTAATTATCTGACTCATTGTGATGATTAGCCACCTATGTTACGCCTCCCAGACCGTACAACTCGCCTGCACAGGCCACATTAATGTTGCTTTCACTGTTTTTTTTGTTTTTTTTTCTTTTAATCTGGACCCTCTTGGTTGATTTGATCAGCCTATTGTCACGTTAAGCCAGATCGACAATTGTTCATCTTTTTGTGGAGTTTGCCACGTGGCAAGGAAGACGACGAGTGCGTGTGGTAACAATACAACTGTTCTGTCCGAGATTTAAAGCTGGTCGTCTTTCTGCCTCCTGCCACAGCTGCACCTTAGTTCGGTTCCTATTTCTTCCACCTGATGAAATGAATAAAAGCTGGTGCTAAATTTTAAGAATACCATAATTTTTGTTTTTTTATAAATGTAACCTGGTTGTGGAAGTAATTGGTACCGCCTGTAACATCTGTTGGTGGCAAAATGAGCTTCCTGTTTTTCTTCAATTCTAGCTTCGTGATGTCAGTGTTCCACAACGGCCGTCTGAGGACCATGAAGGCTAACTACACCGTGAGGTGAGTGTAATCGCAAATATTAATTATTTATCGACGGCTTTACGCCCTAATTGATGGGTCGTTTTCGTAAGCAATGCCTCATGCTGCTGCACTCAGACATTGCAACAAACACCTGAAAGTGGTTTTTATTTGGGGATGGTTCGATGTTATCCCAGCGGTCTAAAAGAAACGGCTACGATGTATGCAATGCAAACTTGCAGTTTGAATTTTACCGACTTATTATTATTCTTTTTGTGGTCTGTTGGAGGTTAAGAATAGCAGGACTTGCTCCTCCCACAAAGCCCTTCACCTTTTCCACTTTAGCAGAGCAAAGGCCGAAGAGGAGGAAATGACCTATCACGGCAAGCAGGAAGCTTTCTGGGAGGGGCTTGTCATGCCTTTTCTTAGCCTGCAACAGACTAGAATGCTATGTTTACAGCAAATTCACATGTGCTACTGTTCTCGCATTGCTCCTAACTTAAAAAAAAAGAAAAAATGTTTCCCTTTCTTTTTTAGGGAAGGTGACCTCCGCGTTACTCGGCCTTTTGTGTACGTCAGGGAGAAGAACCTGCGCAAGTTTGCTGAGGAGGTCGGTCTGGCCTTATCTTGAAGTCCCAACTCTGTTCCTGCTAAAACATTTAAGAGCCTGCTAAGTTATGCTTAAGAACATCAGACAATGTGTTTCAGTTCCAGTTGTAAGAATACAGCACTTAAAAAAAAACCTGAAAAGAAAAAAAAACAATTTTTTAAGTCTGGTTGGGACATGCGTGTTAAAAAATTAATTTCACGCGAGAAAAAAACCAAAAAATTGTAGAGTAATATTGATAGTGCGAGACACAATCAATATTGTACACCCCCTTTCCACTTGTTTTCTCCTCTGCATTTCGGGTGCTTGTAGGAGATGTGGATCGGCTTGGCCATCATGTTGAGGTGGAGAAAGCGTATGACCATCTCGTTGAGGTGGAAAGTGCGTATGACCATTCCGTGACGTCGTAAACTTGGCACGCAAAATTTAAAATAAATCTCGCGCCGTCAATATTGTTTTAAAATCTTTTTTTTTCGCTGAAAATATTTTACACGCGTGTCCCAACCAGACTGTTCAAAAAAATGTTTTGATATTGATGGCGTGAGACATGATTTAGTCGGCAGTCACCTCCTTTCCACTTGTTTTCTCTCGGCATTTGGGGCGCGTAGAGGAGAGGTGGATTGGCTTCACCTTCACGACCGAGATGGTCATTCCGGGATGACCCGTGCCATGACGTCATGGACTTTGCATGCAGAATTTCAAATTAATCTCGCTGTCAATATTGCTCTAAAAAATGTTTTTTTTTGCATACAATTTATTTTTTGACACGCGTGTCCCAATTAAACTGTTTAAAATTTTTTTTTTTTTTTTTCTTTCTTTTTAGGTTTTTTTTAAAGGGGTACGGAAACAAAAATTGAAATATTCAGATTTCGTTCGGAAATGATTCAAGCATGACGGATAATAACCGTAAATGATAATTGCACCTTTGCATTTTGAACGACTGGCTATATTTTTCGTTCCAAACGGTGCACTGGAGCAAGTGCTCAAGGAGAAGCGAACGGAGAGCATGATGCGTCATGGGATATCCGGCGCAAACAAGAACAGAAAGAAAAGATTTCCCGCGTTCGTGGAGTAGCAAGGCAGGTGTGCTTATGAGCTTTACCCTTGGGGGCGTTGTCAGTGTTGTGGTGGGGTCAATAGCGTCGGCGCGTTACAACCGAGCCGTTCGAAGTACCCGTGGGGTGACGAGCGTGTGGCTGGCCCAAGGAGCACGTAGCTCCACAACACCGTCAGCTTAGGGCTGAGCGGGGTGGGGAGAGCAACTTTTGTTCGAGTTTTGAGCTACGGGCTAATCTTCTAGGGGGAGTGGCCGTGTCCGGTTGCACAAACGAGGGTCCGAGAAAGAGGGGAGTCCTTCCTTTCCGTCTTCTTGGACCGTTTGGTACGATGCGCGACTGTTGCGTTGAGGAGGAAAGCTAAGAGGGAAAATGTTGAAATGCCAAAGAGCGGCGCTGCTCCAAAGGAATCTGCTACGTCACGACTACGCAGCAGATTCCACAACGTTGCTAGACTACCTCCCAAATAGGCTCCGCATGCATCCACCAGGTGTACATTGAAAGATTGTTTATTTAGCTTTAAAATTAGTTTTCTTGTGCCGTTCAACGAAAGACTGGTGTTTTTGAGGTTAGGTTGCAACATGCAACACATTCAAGCTAGAAAATGAGCGCTGGAATTTCGTTTCCCTACCCCTTTAAAGGGATGCTGAACCAAACATTTCAGTGTCTGTAATGCGCCACTTATTATGGACACTGAAATGTTTGGTTCAGCATTTCTTTAAGTTGTGCGTTTTGTTCTTCTTTTGCAGATGAGGCTGCCAGTAATTGCCGAGAACTGCCCCGCATGTTTCGAGGCTCCTAAGGTGCGTCCTTGTTGTTGCGGGGACTACGGAACTCGAATAATTTGTTGCAGCTTGCTTGGGACAGTAACCATAACTTGAGCCGTAGTGAAAAATAATTAGGCTCCTTGCAGAACATTACTAACTTCCCACTTTGTGTAGTGAATTAAGATGCTGCTATGTGCATATAAGATCAGCTAGCACTTGTTACTTTATCAAAATATACACCTTTCTGACACGTAGCGGTTTAGATGGTTTCTTAACCATCTTGCCTGCATACTTTCGCTCCTCAAAAAAGGCTTTTTTTTTTTTTTTTTTCTTCAATCAGATTTGGTAAGAGTCGCTTTTCAAAGCGTGTGAGCTATGCACAAAATTTGAGGTAGTTAGCGAGCTTATTTTCGCCTCTTCACTCGTTCTGAAAGTGAAGTAGACTATCCCATGTTGCTGACACCACCACATATCAATTAACGAGCCAAAGGCAGGCCAACAGCGACCAATGCAATACAGTAATGTCGGATCAATATGGCCGTCTCTGTTCCTCCCAAAAATCATCCATACTGTGAGTACTTTATAATAGCAAGACAAAGATGCATGTATTTCCTGTTCATTCCCGAAAATTTTGCCTAGTATATAATTCTCTGCTTGTTAATGCGGTACATATTAACGAGGCACGACTATACCAGGGGAAATTTTAATTTCGACTTTAGATATGGAAAAGTGCTTCAGATTATAGCACTGGCACCATAAGTGCTCTACTTCCCAAATTGTTTTCCCGAAGGAGCGGCACCGAGTGAAGCAGCTGCTGGCAGCACAGGAGATCCTCTTTCCCAAGCTGTACCCCAGCCTGGGCTCGGCAATGCATCCCCTCATGGCCATCAACAGGACTGGCGTCGAGAGCAAGCTTCTACGCAACGGATTCACAGCCGCAGACTCCGACACCGACTGAGAACGTGGCTCCGTCCGTAGTTGCGCCACGCAGCGAGTTTGGGCACCCATAGTCGGCGATAGGTTAAGAACCCAACAGACGCTGCTCCTTGAGCACGAGCTTTCTGCATGCTGGAGGCGGAGCATCCACTAGATTCTTAACCCGTTGCCGACTAGAGCGACACTGCGATCGGCTTGAGCTCAGATATGTAAATAAGGGGGTCGAGTTTGTAAGGGGATTTTAGGGCCTGGTGATTTTACCAGTTCTCTTTGTACATGCAGCATTTTGAATACGAGGGGAAAATTTGACGGCATTAAAGTGGCGTAATAAAGCAAGGTGTTTTGTTTCAATGTAGCAGTTGGTTAGGTTAGTTCTGCCACTCTCCCATTCGGTTTGCATGGCTTTCCCGAGAAAGGTAAGTTAAGTGTTGTTACCGCGTTTCAGAGACAACCCTAAAGAGCCGAGTTCCTCGACAGTGAAATTCTAAGATGTGCCCTACTGCCCCCAAAACATTGGTGACTGCACCATCCTTTGTGCTTTCATTGGCAGCTTCATGTGGAAGTCCTGCACATCGCAGAGGAGGCGTGCCAGTAGAATGGTAAGGGACTTTATTCGTTGAACCATTTGTTCCGACCCTCAACAGCAGCCCGTTTCATCTGTTTTTGCCTGTGCTTTTCAACCATCGCACCGAAGGTGTCCTTTTCCCCACGAACACCCCCAACAGGACCTAACCCCTTCTTTTGCTTTTGTTTCCGTTTTCCCTTCTTCTCTTTTGCCTGTAACTGTTTCTGCATTTGCCTTCCCGCTCGCCCTTTCTTAGTGCGCACCTTGGCCCCCGAATGCGTCGGTAGGCCCTTCATGTTACGATTGGCCGCAGCTCCCATGAATGGTGCCCGCTTCTCGTTCGGAACAGCCGCATCCGTAGCCGACGTGGAACCGGACTGATCCATCTCCTCCGCCTCCTTGATCTTTTGCTTGCTGCGTTGCAGACGTCGTTCCTTGGCGACCAGAGCAGCCTTGTTCTCGAGACAGAACTCGACGATGGGCCTCTTCTTGGGGCCGAAGGTTTCTGGGTTGTTGTTGAGCCTCCGCAGAGCCTCGAGCGCGTCTTCGTGTCGGCCAAACGTCACGAAGCCGTAGCCGCGTGACTCGGCACTGGGCGTCTTCAGGTTGCGCATCACGCGGGCCTCGGTGATTCGTGCACCCTTGGGAGCGTTCTGGAGGAACAGGGCGCGCAGCTTCCGATCGTCAACTGAGGGCGGCAGGTTGTGGACGCACAGGCGGGTCTGCGACACAAAGTAGTGCAGGTTCTGGAGAAGCTTGCGCTTGCGGGACTGAAGCTTTGCCCTCTTGGTCATGTCCTGCGGGGAGACCCCGTGGGCAGCTTCCGTGCCGGGCCGCACGAGTCCTTCGCGCGCCAGGAAGAGGTTGCGGCGGTCTTTCTTCTGCTTCTTTTCCGATTCTTGTTTGGCGTCCAGCTCTTCGCGGGAGAGGGCCCTGGCGACGCTCAAGCGGCGACCGTCCAGCATCAAGCCTGCGCTGGACTGCGCCGCTTGGAGGCAGCGTTCGACGCTGGCGTCCTTGACATAGCGCACGAAGGCACTTCCTTTCGAGTGCTCGGTGACCGGATCCGTACAGAGGAGGCAGTACCTGCAGGGCCCGAACTGCTTCATGAGGGAGTCGAGGCTTTCCTGCGTCGTCTCAAACGAAATGTTGCGGATGAAGAGGGTGTTCTTCGTGTCGCCCGGCTGGGACTTCCGTTTAAGGTGGAGCTCATCGTCATCTTCATCCTCTTCGTCACTACCACCCTCTTCCTCGCTTTGCTCATCGTCCATGTCTTGGTCGGTGTTGTCACCTTGGTCGTCCAAATCCGAAGCCGAGTCTTCGTGTGCAGGCGTCTCGGAAGCAACGCTAGTCTCGTCAGCAGAACCGTCAGTATCTTCGTCGTTGTTGCTTTGTTCAGCTTTACTCGCCGAAGCTTGGCCCTGCGTGGCATTCTGGTACGTGGCTTTGGGAAGGCAGAAGTCGACGGCCACGGGACGGCCACTTATGTTACTTGCATTCAGACCGTTGATGGCTTTGATCGCACTCTTGGTCTCTGCAAATTGGACGAATGCGAAGCCGCGCATCTTTCCGTCGGGTTTCTTGGGAATGCTTACCTCAACGAGGTCGCCGTACTTGCCGAAACAGTCGCGCAGCACTGTTTCGTTGGCTTTGAACGACAAGTTGCGAACAATGAGACGTGGCTTACGTTTTTTCCTGGCGAGTCTCTCTTCCTTAGTTGCTCTCGGCCTGGGTTCCGCTTTCTGGGCCGCAGCCGAGCCACGCAGGGGTTTGGAAGCGGCTAGTTTCACGTGAAGCAGGTTTCCGCCCAGCTTGAATTTTTGTGTCAACGCGGCGTCGGCGTCGACGGCGCTGGCGTATGTCACGTACGCTACGCCCTTGCATTCGGCCTTGTCCGACTTGTCTCGAACGATGAAGCATCTCTTCAGCGGTCCGATGTCGCCGAAAATCTCTTCGAGTTTGGATTCTTTAGTGTCCGGGGGTAAATTCTTTACAAGCAGCGTGCTAGGCTTTTCCACACTGGGAGCCGCCATTTTAAATTGGTGGTGGTGGTCGTAGTGCGCGATGGTGGTACGGCTTCCTAGTTTCTCAGGAGCTTGTTTGAATCGTGGCAAACATTTTTTTATTCAAGACAAAACTGGGAAAGCTTCGTATAGAAACGTGGTAAACAAAAGATAAACAAAATTAGTTTCAATGTTGGTTTGTAACTAATACACTTTTACGTTAGAATTTTGTAATTTTGATAAGAATGCGCCTTTGCCGACTGTTGGCGAAGTTTGATGAAGTCTAGGCGCAACCCAGACTACACCCAATGTCCCAGGGATGTCCCAAAAAGGTCCCTCTGGGGTTTTCGCAGGACATTCTTGTGGCATCATCTCTAGCAAAAATTCCAATTCAGGCCACTTCCGGCCGCAATGACAGGGAGCCGAGAACACTTCCGGTTCGGGTTTTGTTTGCATGCTTTTAGGGGCAACATCACCGCTACGTTTCGTGTGTTCCACAATTAAACAAGTCTTTTCTCACGTTTTTCTACTCCCACCGGCTTCTTCAAGTGCTGTAATGCCTTGCAATTAACTTGGCAACTTTTCTATGGCAGATCTCCGCGAAATAAAAGATGCAGCGAGCCGCGGCCGTCGAACGCAAACAGTCTCCGTCACGCGAGCGTCGATTTCACGCTTAGTAGTAATACTAGGATCGTCTCATTTTGTCCTACCAGGCGTCTGACACTCCTCTGACATCGTGCATGCAGCGGTCTCGTGGTGTTGTTTGAAGGCACTACTCGCGGGCGTTAAATGTACTCATATAATAACAATAGCCATCTAATAAAGGTGCATTGATTGATTACTTTATTAGAACAATCATCTAGCGGTCTAATAGGGGCGGTTTGACGTGTTCTGGTTTCGTGAAGTACGCCCCCAAATAGATCGCTTCTGAGCGAAAAAAAGGGCCCCAAAACTTTTTTTCGGCCAACTTCCACTGTTTAACCCTAATTGTCCTACCAGACGTGTGTCACTTCACTAACGTCGTGCTCACGGGTCCCCTTGACGCGTTTGAAGGCACTCGTCGTCGGCGTTAAATGTATTCGTATAATAAGAATAGCGATTTAATAAAGGCGCATTAATTGATTACTTTGTTATAACATTCATCTCGCGGTCTAAAAGGGGCGGTTTGACGTGTTCTTCTTTCGTGAAGTATGCCCCCAAATAGACCGCTTCTGAGCGAAAAAAAGGGCCCCATTATCAGAAAAATCTTTGCCTCCTCTCAGCGCTGCTAAGGCGAAAACCTTTTTCGGCCAACTTCCACTGTTTAACCCTAATTGTCCTCCCAGACGTCTGTCTCTTTCTAACGTCGTGCTCACGGGTCCCCTTGACGCGTTTGAAGGCACTCGTCGCCGGCGTTAAATGTATTCGTATAATAAGAATAGCGATTTAATAAAGGCGCATTAATTGATTACTTTGTTATAACATTCATCTCGCGGTCTAAAAGGGGCGGTTTGACGTGTTCTTCTTTCGTGAAGTATGCCCCCAAATAGACCGCTTCTGAGCGAAAAAAAGGGCCCCATTATCAGGAAAATATTTGCCTCCTTTCAGCGCTGCTAAGGCGAAAACCTTTTTCGGCCAACTTCCACTGTTTACCCCTAATTGTCCTCCCAGACGTCTGTCTCTTTCTAACGTCGTGCTCACGGGTCCCCTTGACGCGTTTGAAGGCACTCGTCGTCGGCGTTAAATGTTTTCGTATAATAAGAATAGCGATTTAATAAAGGCGCATTAATTGATTACTTTGTTATAACATTCATCTCGCGGTCTAAAAGGGGCGGTTTGACGTGTTCTTCTTTCGTGAAGTATGCCCCCAAATAGACCGCTTCTGAGCGAAAAAAAGGGCCCCATTATCAGAAAAATCTTTGCCTCCTCTCAGCGCTGCTAAGGCGAAAACCTTTTTCGGCCAACTTCCACTGTTTAACCCTAATTGTCCTCCCAGACGTCTGTCTCTTTCTAACGTCGTGCTCACGGGTCCCCTTGACGCGTTTGAAGGCACTCGTCGCCGGCGTTAAATGTATTCGTATAATAAGAATAGCGATTTAATAAAGGCGCATTAATTGATTTCTTTGTTATAACATTCATCTCGCGGTCTAAAAGGGGCGGTTTGACGTGTTCTTCTTTCGTGAAGTATGCCCCCAAATAGACCGCTTCTGAGCGAAAAAAAGGGCCCCATTATCAGAAAAATCTTTGCCTCCTCTCAGCGCTGCTAAGGCGAAAACCTTTTTCGGCCAACTTCCACTGTTTAACCCTAATTGTCCTCCCAGACGTCTGTCTCTTTCTAACGTCGTGCTCACGGGTCCCCTTGACGCGTTTGAAGGCACTCGTCGCCGGCGTTAAATGTATTCGTATAATAAGAATAGCGATTTAATAAAGGCGCATTAATTGATTTCTTTGTTATAACATTCATCTCGCGGTCTAAAAGGGGCGGTTTGACGTGTTCTTCTTTCGTGAAGTATGCCCCCAAATAGACCGCTTCTGAGCGAAAAAAAGGGCCCCATTATCAGAAAAATCTTTGCCTCCTCTCAGCGCTGCTAAGGCGAAAACCTTTTTCGGCCAACTTCCACTGTTTAACCCTAATTGTCCTCCCAGACGTCTGTCTCTTTCTAACGTCGTGCTCACGGGTCCCCTTGACGCGTTTGAAGGCACTCGTCGCCGGCGTTAAATGTATTCGTATAATAAGAATAGCGATTTAATAAAGGCGCATTAATTGATTTCTTTGTTATAACATTCAT